AGTGGGATTTGTCTCACACACACGACCAGTGAAATAAGCCACTGGCCAAAGTATCAAAGACCTGATCACAAAGGTTTAAAACATGTGCATGCTCATTATCAAGGCTGAGATTATTACTGGACATCAAGGACTCAAGCGAAGAGTTAAAACTGCACTTTGTGACTTTTCTGGTGTCTCTGCTTGTCCCCATGAAGATGTTATTGCAGGGGTCACTATCAAGCCAAGTTACAGGTCAGACCTGTGGATAGAGAGGCACATTTCAGTGTATTTTTGAGCATAAGAACACTTGCAATAGAATAACTCCTGAGATGGATCAGTTTAATGCCACACTGTGAGACACTCCAGGCAAAGTACAGTATTAGCATCTTAGCATGCCAAATACTTTATAATCCTTACCTGGAAGAAGAAATACAGATTGAAGATTTATACATACATAATGTATAAAGTAAAAATTGTTAATGGGATAAAAGTGAGTTTTAAGTAATAGTGTCGTAGTAATCGAGACTGGTCTTGGTCTCGAACCAGCCTCAAGACCATTTTTTTGAGGTCTTGCTTTCGTCTCGGGCTTGACTGTGTTGGGACTTGGCCTTGTCTTGGTCTTGAATGCGCTTGGACTTGGTCTTGTCTTGGTCTTGAAGATGCTTGGACTCGATTTTGTCTCGGCATCGAGGTCTGACACTCGACAAGTGATAAAAACATTGTCAAAAATGAAAAAAATGGTCTCTATTTGGTCTTCATGGGGCGTGGTCTCGGTATTGTCTCGGGCTGGACCTTTAAAAGTTTTGGTCTTGTCTTGGTCTCGACCCTCAGTGGTCTTGGTCTTGTCCTGGTCTCGGGACCCTGTGGTCTCGGACAGGTCTTGGTCTTGATTAGTGCGGTCTTGATTACAACAATACTAAGTAGAATCGAATTTCAAAATCCTACAACTACTGCCACTACAACTTTTGCATTCAAAAAAATTTGCTACACCAAAATTTATGTGTAGCGGTGATGAGGGTTATTCCTTGATTTAACTAGAAACCAAAGGGTCATTGGTTCAAATCTCAACATCCCTTTTTTCACCTTTTGCCACTTCTTTGCATATTCAAAATACAATATGTATGCCACTGCATCTTTGTATATAGTATCTGGTTACTTTTTACTGCAGACTTTCTCCATATTACTGTCTATCTTTTCAGGCTCACCCACATTCATACCTCAGCCACGTACTTTATGAACAGAGCTACAACTGTTCTGAAATCAGGTGTACTTGAAGGATTTATTTCCTCTTCTCCTCATCTCTCATGACTCTGTGCTGTGGGACATTTTCCTTACTCCACAAATAGTTTTCTCTCCTTGTTTTGACTGAGAACCCGAGACTCTTGGAGGGACGTGGACTGAAGCTGTACCGACTATGTGATCTTTTGGTGGGGTCCAGTCTGCCCCTGTCCCTGGTGTACTGAGCCGTCACGCACATGGACTACACCCACCAGTGAACGAGGAATGTGTCTGCTCCACTCGCACTACTACGCCCTATTGATTTACAGTGAGACTGATATGACTTACAGTACTCTTAGGCAAAACACTTAAAATGTCTGTATTTATGCATGTTCAACCCGCCCATACACTGAAAAGTACCATTGTTACCAAAGCACTGTGATCTTATTTGCTTGCTGAAGTTGTCATCTAAACATTGACCAAACCTGAATTTTAGGAATTTATAGCTATAATAATCCATAGTTTAAAGGGCCCATATTATGCTATTGTCTGATATGTTATGTTATTTGCTCATCAAAAACATACCTGGACTTGTGTTTTGTTTCATTCACACAAGAACAACCGTTCCGCCTTGTGAAGTCATGTGGCTCCATTGTGCTTTTAAACTCCATACACTTTCACTAGAATTAGAATTTGGATTATTTCAACCCTGGAATTGCCAACCTATACTGTACTAAAGGTAAAAGGTAGCCATTATCTTTGAAACTACCACTACATGACATCACAAGGTGTAACAGCATTTAGAACTTTAGAGACAGACTAATACTAAAGGGTTTCTCAAACATGTGAATGAAATAAAACACAACTCCACGAGGTAGCATTCTAACTTGTCTAAAAGCTCACAGGCATTGTTTTTGTGTAATATAGGCCCTTTACGTATTAGGCTATAATATTTTCATGATGTGTAAAATGTGCACTGGGCGGTTTGTCTCCATGGAGATAGTATTACCTTTGCTTTGAGTGTGCCACAGTAAGGCATTAAATTATGTATACTGCATTTATTCAGTTGCTAGAAAAGCATGCATTCTTATTTTAAGCAGGGTTGCCACTCTCCACAGATCTGACCTCTGTCCTTGCTGGGTGGTGTCGCTTTCTTGTGTCCATGGGGATTACTTTAATGCCACAGTGTGGAACATTCCATTCAAAGCAATACACAGAGTAGACTCCCCCCACCAGAAATATGGGCTCATTGTTTTGGCCTGGATTCCATTTATATTTATCCAAACTTAAAACAAGCAAACTAAAATATGTACTAGCTTGATGTGACCTTGTATGCCTTTTAAGAATTCTAATTTCACTAGAATGATGTTGTTGTTCAGTTTGTTTCTCTGGTACAAATATATCAAATGTAAAGTACAAAATGTTTCAATACTGTACTGCCAGAACAGGCCTTCCCATTCTCATGGAAACGCCCAGGGTTTTCCTTATGAAGCAAACCCAAAGTTTTGTGGGAGTTTAGTGAAAACAGTGATGACCACACAGCCCATTGTGCTCTGAAACCACAGATTTCCTCCTAAATATATCCTTGTGTCATTGGATTAGCTCACAGGGTCCTAACCTAACCAAAAATGCGTCAACCCATCGTCACATACACATAAACACATTTGTACAGACTTTTATGGACTTTGATAACCTGATACAACTGCTCATTCTTTTTGGTAAAGTAATTTTAGATGTCTGAACAGAGTGAAGGCAGGAAGCTGTTTGACACATGCCAACAAAATCTAGTGCAGAATGTCCCTTCTCAAATACCTTTTCTGAATGTTGACTTTTTTGTCTTTTTTTAAACCGCACTTTCCAGCCCTCCCCTTTTCGTGTCCATGGTATCCGTCCACAGATGTTCTGCCTCTCCGCTGGTCATAACATCCTCACCCCTGACTTCCCCTGAATCCCACCTTCTCCTCTGTCCGATTACATAAATAACATGACATCTGCAGAGGAAGAATGAAGGCTGGCTATTCCATCAAGACCCCCCATGTCCTCAGTGTGGTCTGGAAGTGATTGCCATCTGCTATTAGGCCTTACATAACCAACCGTAACTATAATCAATATTTAAAGATGAACTGTTTGATATGACAAGGAACTTCCCAAGTGCTATTACAATCAGGAATTATTGTATTTTATAAGTGTGTTTATATGGATACGGATGTGGAAAGATTTAATCAAGATTTTAGAGAAAGATCTTAAATTTAATTGTATTTGTTCTTATTAGAAACAAATCAATCTCACATACACAAATAATACATTTAGCCAGCGACTTTTCATTACAACTGCTGTCGAAATTATGGCTCCAAGTTTGAACTTTCTTGCCAGTTTTACCGTTATCTCAGTGTATATTTGTAAAGAAACCAAGTCGATGAAGCAACCATACATCGACATACGGCAAGGTGGCTGAGAAATCTTGAGCATGCTGAAAATTTCTCGACGTATGTCAGCATATGCTTATACATCCTGCATACATGGGCCATAAGTTGTATGTAAGTTATGCGATCGTTCACACATGTTCACATACATTAAGTGTAAGTTACTCATATGTCCAAATACGTTCAAATAGATAATGTCTAACGTACCCATAACTTATGAGTAATATGATTTGAACCTATGTGTAACTTATTTCGAACTTACCTCCAACGCATATTGATGTATGCAGACGTATTTGACATGTTCCAATGACCACAGAACTTACTGAACGTGTTTCTAACTTATAGCTACTGTATAATGACGTATTGACAGCATGTAGGAAAATTATAGACTTTATATAAAAATGGGGAAACCGTCACTACTCCTCCAGACTTCATGGTAAACAGACCCATGGTACCACCCGCTACACATATCATCCGAGAGGTGAAGGATCCGACAAGGCTGAGATGAGAATACATTATAGCTGTCCTCCCAAGATCAGCATGATCTCATCGATTTGTCACTGTACCGCTGTGTGCTAATAGGGCCAGGAGAAGAAGAGATCAAAGGTGAGGGTGTGGGTGATGATGGATCCTCCCTACGTTCACCACGCCCATGGTTATGACCAGGAGACTTGTTGGCAGCGTTCTTTGGAGAGACACTGATTAATGTTGCTACTGCAATGTCTAGTGCAGTTACGAATTGTCGAGCGGCAGCCTTTTTATAGGTGACGACATGTGAGCGTTGGCGATACGCAGCCGTGTGCTACACATAAGTTAGACTGTGGTTGGGCGTAAGTTACAGACGCAGGCAACACGCTAAGCATTAGTTGGTATAAGTTATATATAAGTTATCAAAATGTTCTATATAAGTTACTAATACGTCCAGCTCGTTACAAATATGCTATGTATACATGCCCAAAATTGAAAAAAAACAAACAAAACAAAAAAACAAAAAAAACCCACACAGATATTTCAGTGTGTGCCAGTGTTTTAGGGACGTCTGGTACGTCGGCATACGCTGGCTAAATTGTCAAGGTGTGACAGGGCCATGAAAACTACCACTTCATGACATCACAAAGTGGAAGAGAGCATTTTGCGCTTTAGATATGTAGACAGACTAAAAATGCAGGCTTACTTAAACATTGAGTGTGAATTAAACAAAACACAACTCCAGGTATGTTTTTGGCTTAAAGCTCACAAGAATCTATTTTGTGTAATTTAAGACCTTTAAACAACATGCTTGCATATCAGGTTGAATTTCTATTTCAGATTGCAGTATCCAAGTGGAACAAAATGCTTACTTTACATCTTCTCTTTTTTTTCTTTTTGATTTATGTCCAGATAATGCAGCAAATGAGCGACCACCGCTACGACAAGCTGACCCTGCCTGACGATCTCGCTGCTAACTGCATCTACATGAACCTGCCTGATAAAGGCCATGTGCTGCTCCACTCCACAGACATGTTTCCAGAAAGTTTCAAGGTACAAGCAGAGCACTCAAACTCTCTCTCAAGCTACAGCCATTTTAGATGTTGGGGTGTTACATGTGGTAAAACTTTAAGTGTTTTAAAGGTTCTGTAACCAATTTTTCTTCAAAGGTGAAAACTGGAACATTTTAAGCGGTTTGCAATGGTCCAAAGTTATTCCTCACTAACCTTATGCACTCTGAACATCCAAACTATTCACAGTTTATAGTTTATAAGCATGTTTTACAACTTAAAGAGGCCAGAACAGGGTTTTGCCATCAAGGTAATGCTAGTAACAACTAAAATGTTAACCGCGCACTTCTTAATTATCAGACAATACATGCATTATAATTAGATGCAGATAGGGCACAATATATCTGTACAGGGACTGGACAAGTTTTACTCAAATACATTGAAAAGAAAGTCAGCTATAGGCCCTTTAAGTCAGCTATAGGCCCTTTAAGTTTTGATTTTTTGCCACTAACCTTTGAGAAAAACAACTGGAGCCTGTCTAAACTTATGTGGTTGTTTCACACACAACTATAGAGTAGCCTTTGCTAACACTATGTTATTTCAACAATAGAACCTGTAGTTTGATGTGCATGGACTGACCACTTTCTGGATAATGACTCAAACCACAAGCTTGGAAACCAGGCTTAGGGGAAAATGAGTGTGTTTTTTAGCTTCTAACTTAATTGTAAAAACAGATAGTTCTCCTCGGTTTTGCAGAAGCATGCTGTACGTGCAAACTGAGTTGTTCAGTTGTATTACTTTAGATGGATAACATTATTTATTGTAATCATGCATTATTGTTTTAAATCATGTGTCTCCTTATCATATACAGAGCTGGGAGATTCATCTTTTGGTAAATTCCACTGGCATGCAACTTTTAAAAAATATTATCAAATAATACACACATTTAGAGTTAAAATAAACTTACTGTTGCGCTATGTAACATTTCTGGTGGAGAATCTTCCACTTTGTCTGGAATGTTCCTTGGTATGGCATTATATGTATGCACGCAGCATTTCTGTCAGTCTGAATGTTTTACTGTTCAAAACTACTTTGACCTCTAATGTGGCCTAGTAGCCTTACCTGCATGTCTCAATGGAGATGAATAGTTTTATTGCCATACTATGGAACATTAGTGGGAAAGCAAAGCAACTTTATGAGGACACTCTGGTGGCAAAAAATTACATAAATGTGCACTGTGTAATTTTTCTGCTTGTCTCCTGGAATGTCCCTTGTGTGTGGCTCACCTCTCCACAGGTCTGACATGGCTAACTTGGCCCTATGACATGACCCGCTGTCTCTGTAGATTGATTGATGTAGCATTTCTGGTGGAGAATCTTCCACTTTGCCTGGAATGTTCCATGGTATGGCATTATATATATACACACAGCATTTCTGTCAGTCTGAATGTTTTACTGCTCAAGACTACTTTGACCTGTAACTTGGTGTAGTAGTCTCGCCTGCTTGACTCAGTGGAGATGAATAGATTTAATGCCATTGTTACGACCCAGCTCTGCTAGGGACAGGGGGAAGTAACAAAATAACCAAGATTGAAAAATGGTAAAACTAAAGTTGTGATTTATTTAACAGAATTGTAAGGTAAACCAAACAAAACAATGATTCTTACAAGAATTAGCAAAAAGAGGCTCTAAACAGAGTGGCTAACAATATAAGGAAAGATAAGCAAACCAAAATGGGGTACACTAAATGAAACAGAAAAACAAAAAAACAGTCTAAGTCACCAGGACTCTAGTATCTCTACAAACACAGCACGAGAGACACAAAGATGGCAAGCAAGTCCACAAACAGAACAGCTGCCCAGAGTGGCAGGGGGCGGGTCCTTTTATAGGGCCGGAGCTCCAGGTGTAGGCTGGGATTGGCCAGGTGTTCCAGTTTCCACCATTCAGCGGGAGGGCTCCAGATGCCATCTTAAATCGATTCCTCCAATCACAGCATCACAGCGGGGGTCTGCATATGGAGGCTTGCAAACACACACACTCACACACACACACACACACACACACACACACACACGGATCTAGGCAAATATGGCCAGGAGGATCTGGAGGCCTGTGGCCGTAACAGCCATACTGTGGAACATTAGCGGGAAAGCAAAGCAACTTCATGAGGACAGTCTGGTGGCAAAAAATTACACAAATGTGCACCGCATGATTTTTCTTTCAGGCAAAATTCAAAATTCAGCAGCGTGTGTCCTGACTAGGACCAGTGGGTGGGATGGATGGAAATGTGGGATTGTTTTGAATCACTGTTAAGCACTTTGTTTTATATTTTTGTATGAAAAGTGCTTTATAAATAAAGTTTGATTGATTGACTGATAGAGATAAATAAGTCTAACGCCATACTTTGAAGCTGGTAATGGACTGTCTACCAGAAATTTTACACAGCACACCTTTTAAATAAGTAAAAAATAAACAATAATGTAAAATGCCTTTGACATCCTTATTCTATATACTATACATTATACCAATACCAACCATTATACTTTATGTAATGCATAATTGTAGCCTCGAGCGACATGTTTTGAGAAGTAGTTTTGTTTGGGAGCTTCATAAAAACAACTTAAAATCTGAATCAAAGTGAACAGGGTACAGTGTGTAGAGACAGTGCTGCAACCTCAAAAAGTACTTGTGGTTCAAACCCGAACCTCCAGCAGTTATTTTTAGAAGGAAGAATGCACCAAATTATGTATCTTTGGACATCTACACTGAAGATTTCTTTTTCCTGGAAGATTAACAGAGGGAATTTCAGCCACTGTACTGAAATCTATTTTTGTGTCTCGAGCTTCCTGCCTTGGTTTCACGTCTTGCACAGACCACTTGGACCAAGGATGGAGTTTCATATTTTACTTTTCTTCATATAATCAGACCCACCAGATATTGGCTCTGGTTTGTATTTGGGAAGTCTTTGCAAAGGAAAAATGAGGACATACAGTACATGGACAGTTTTATCACGGCCATTGATCACGCAGAGTACAGCGCTCGGTACATGGGTCCCTCGAGGTCCTTTTTATTTCTCTCATTATCTCCTGCATGGCGTGACTCAAGGATTCTACATTTGTACAGATAATGGCTTCACCTTTTCAAGATGCAAATAACACGCTTTAGTAGATATTAGCAACATGTGATTCAATATTTTTGTGGTTCATTTCCCTAAACTAAAATGTTCAAAAAGTAATAACAGTTGTACATGCATTCCTATCAATTTACAACAACAATGCAATTACAATTGAACCAGAGATGGTCCAGGAGGTTCATTTGGTCTTCCGATAATTTATGTTATTAGGTTGTTTTTTCAGACCAAGAGTTTGTTTTCATACCTGACTGTTTCGACTGCTCACTAGTGGTCTTCCTCAGACTGGTCAGCTGATATAAACAGGTTTTGGCGCTGTCTTTCTACCAGAGGAGACAGAACGACAGCGCCATCTGCAGTCCGACTTCCTCAGGACCGTATCCAAGGTGTGTGAGAGTAAAAAAGCCCCCTCTTCCTGGGTGATAATCCCATAGACATGTTTGTGTATTTTGATTGCCTCTTTAACTGTGTTTGTTGTCCTCTGTCCCAATGATGTTTACTCTGTCCAAGTCCATAATGTGGTTCTCTCTTTTACAGCGGTCAGAAATGGCCGATTTGAGTTGTTCCTGTTCTGCTTTGTGTTTTATTACTTGTACTGCACACCTTCTCTGTTTCCTTCTCGCAGTCTGCTCTATGTTCCATTTTTCATGTACTGAATGCCCTTCCTGTTTTCTCAATGTATGTTTTATTGCAGGACATGCAGGCTATTTCATTTATGACATTACATTTGTTCTCCAGTTCTATTTTATCTTTTGGGTGGTCGAGGAATTGCCTGAGTTTTCTGTACGGTTTCACTGATGTGTTGATATTGTGTTTTCTCATTGGCCTCTGAACTTTTTCTGCTATTCCCCTGATGTATGGTAATGTTACCATGCGCTTGTTTTTCAGTTTTATTTTAGTTTTTCTGGTTTTATTTTTCTCTCTCTCTGACCTGTTGTTTTCCTTTGTTTATTGCCCATTTTGGGTATTGGCAGTGCTTCAGAGTATTGTGGATGTGTCTGTCTTCCTCCTGTTTACCTTATTCATCGGTTATCATGTTGGTTCTGTCAAATAATGTTCTGAACTTGGAGAGTAGGTAGGAAGACAGCGCTAAAACCTGTATAAATCAGCTGACCGGACACATCACAGCAACATCACATGACCCCTGAAGAAGACCGCTAGTGAGCAGTCCAAACTGTCAAGTATGAAAACAAACCCTTGGTCTGAAAAAATTATTTAATAAGATGGCTTATTTCCTGGTCTGCAGATGATAAAATACTCTATAATAAGATTTAGACAGGGTGTAGAAAAAGAGATTTTGAACAGATTTTGACTTGTCTCAGCATTTCAAGACAATGTTCTACACCACTTTTAAAGGTCTTATATTACACAAAATTTACTCTTGTGAGCTGTAAGCTGTGTTATAATGTTGTTTCCTCCTCAAAAACATACGTGGAGTTGTGTTTTGTTTCATTCACACATGTTTGAGTAACCCTTTATTAATTGTCTGTCTGTCTCCAATGCTCAAAATGCTCTGTTCCACCTTGTGATGTCATGAAGTGGTAGTTTTCAAGTTTACTTCAGTAGGAATTGGCAATTCAGGGCTAAAATTATCCAAACACTTTTAGTGAAGGTGTATGGACAGAGTGTTTTCTGTTTTGTGAGTGTTTCTAATCTGTATTTTTCATTGCATATCTGGAGATCGGTTCCTAATTTTCTCCAAATCCTTAACTATTTTTACCAGCTATATAACAGTCTTAAAATAACAAAAGTGGGGGGTCATGAGAGGGGAACGTTAGGTAGGAGGTATCTTTGCGGTGAGTCCTATGTGGAGACTGCTCTTGAGTTAAGGAATACAGTACTGTACATGAACAAAGGAGCCAGTGAAATACAGCAGCCCCTACTGTGCATGAGCATGACAGCCCACCAACCCAAAGTATACATTTCAACCACAGTAATGAGAAAGTGGCCGGGAAGGAAAAAAACATGGATACTTTAGCGGTGGATATTCTATAAACAGCAGGGATTTTGGTGCTGTTTTGGGAAGTTATGCAAAAGTGAAAGCTGAGGGGACTCTTATGATCGTGTGGTCTCTCTGGGAACATTTTTCCAAACAGTTCTGCACCTGGACAATGTAGGAATATTGTTGTTAATGTTGGATAAATATGCAAAAGCAGATATAAAAACCAGAGAAGCTTTTGTGTTGTTTACTGCAAATACAAACACTGTTACAAAATGTTGGTACATACATGAATGCTGTTAACTGGACCATGAAAGAATGGAAATATAACTATAAACTTTGTTGAAAGATAACACTGCATTTTTTTTAATCTGCTCTTGTTGCTCCCTTTAGTTTTCTTATGATAAATGGTCAGTAGTGTGGGTGTACACAATTTGTGATGTCATCGATGTGATGACCCCCTTACCCATCCACCTCCACCCCAAAAGCTATATACTCAATTTGACACACTGAAATACACACAAGTGTAATATAGAATGATGTTTATTGACACACACACAAAAAAACTCGCTTTCAGTACAAACATAAAGGTGCCAGCCCAGTAAAAAATCAGTAATATTTAGGGTTTTTTTTACTCAAAATGATGCGGAATCGTGTTTTTAACATTAACACCATTCAAAATTACCTAAAGAACATCAATCATAGGCTACAACACATGTGCCCAGGACTGAACCAGGACTAAAACAGGACCGAACCAAGTCTAAACCAGGACTAAACCAGGACTGGACCAGGACTAAAACTGGACTAAACCAGGTCTAAACCAGGTCTAAACCAGGTCTAAACCAGGTCTAAACCAGGACTGAACCAGGACTGAACCAGGACTGAACCAGGACTAATCTTGGACTTGAGAGCGGAGAACCCTGAGCCCATGGAGCAGGATGTCTGTAAAGCACGATTGGGTGCTGGCTGTGCTTGGCCCCCTGCACCAGTTTTTTCACCTGTGGTCACCGACTTCTACACGGGCGCATCTCTGGGCTCATCCCAACACTCAGTCCTGGTTCAGTTCTGGTTTAGTTCTGGTTTAGGCCTTGTTTAGTCCTGGTTCAGTCCTGGTCCCTCATGTCACAGGTCTCTATAGGACAGTACTGCAGATATCATGAGCCTATGCAGGTTGTTTTCACCATTGCCAATAGCTCTGGTTTGATATTTAAGTTGTAGCTATTTTATATTTGTTATTTTTTTTTAATCTCACGTCGGGAGAATTGAGTGGATGGCATACCCCCGTGTACCACGCCCACTACACGCCTATAGATGGTATATTTGTTATGTTTTAGATGCAAATCAACTGCACCACCACCTAAGTAGGAATTACACTTTTTTTCTAATAGAGGATTCTCCACCTTTTTGTCTCCATGGAGATGTTATTGGTTTGCCTTAGCTGTTACACACTGTTGATGTAAACTTGTGTATATCTGTGGAAACAAACAGTAGACCAGGCCAAGTTACATGTCAGATCTGCGAAGAGTCACCTCAATGTAAAATTTTTTCAAGGTACTGTTTTTGCAGTAGAACTTGTAAACTACTGAGTGCAGGATACCAGATAAGTTTAATGCCATACTGTGGACTATTCCAAGCAAAGCAAAAATGTCCACACAGAGAGACAAACAGATGTCCCACTACCTGAAAACTTCATAATTAATAAAGATTGCACCAACCCTGAAGAAACAGAAGGGAATTGGTCAGTGGGGTGCAATTCTATGTAAATCAGTGCATCAAGCTAGTTTATTTTAGTTTTAGTTCATTTATTTTTTGTTTTTTCCTGGCTGTATTCTGTGTTCCATTTTAAAAGTTGCATTTTTCTTTACCCCTCTCAGTCATCTGACATCATAAGATTACAGTTAGTTTAGCCCCATAAGGCCTGCTCCTTCTTTATGCATGGCTCTCTAGTGAGTGACTCTAAAAGTGAAAAACTATCTTGGTTTAGCTGTAGGAAAACACTGGTTTTCTTTTGGAACACATCCACGAGTTGACACACAGCTTTATGAGGGTCTTTAGAGGGTGTCGTAATGTGCTCGCTCCTGTTTTTATTTCAACAGGAGACCACTGGGCTTGTTATCCAACTTCTTGCGTTTCCGAATGACAGGAAGCATAAACAAACTTATTCTTGTGTGTGTTGTGTATAGGGCTGGGTGATATCAATCTATCACATTCAGTTATGAACCACATTTTAAAAACAACCATGACTGACCAAAGTGCTTCACGGGTTTAGTCTAACAAAAATGACACTATGCAATAAAATTTCAACAAAGCTAGGTACTAAAGCTTCTATATGATGCAAAACTGACTATTGTGAGCTTTAAGCCATGTTATAATGTTCTTACTTCATCAAAAACATACTTGGAGTTGTGTTGTTGTTTTTTTTCATTCACACGTTTAATCATCTGCAAAGCTCAAACCAAAGTCCCACTTTGTGATGTCATGTGTTTGTAGTTTTCTAGTTGACAGCTACCTTTAGTTTTTAGTTCAGTAGAAATTAGCAAGGTCTCCAGGTCCAGGTCTGAAATTATCCAAATGATTGTAGTGAAGGTGGACCTCTGTAGCCTCTCTGAATGAGACAACTGGAAGTGAGGTGTGAACTTTCAGAAGAAGCAGATAACTTTATTTACCTCTAAAAGTTACTGAAACAGGACAGGTGTACATGAACTGTGATCAAACTGAAATTGTGGTCTGTCTCCAAGAAATTCCTAACATTAATTTTTTTGTTTCCATCACCTATTGCTAGTTGTGTAATTGTCCTAGACTCAAAGTTAAAATTCACACAATGTTTTCCAGTATGGCCGACTACATCTGAGCTCTTGTGTGTGCAGGTGCTGGAGAAGTTGAAGGACTACGTGCTGATTCCTGTTTCTAACGCTGAGAAGATGAAAGTGGATGGAGCGGTCACTTGCTGCTCTGTTCTCATAAACAAGAAAGCCAACATCTGAGCATTACCTCAGTTTGAAGTGATAATGTAACATGTCATTTGGTACAGTAGACAGTTGTTACCGTTGAGAACAAATGCTCACACAAGATTTATAGAACTAATACCTTTTTTAATATTATATATATACTACATTCATGTACTGTAGCCATTAGAAGGTCATCACCTGAACATTACCTTTGTTTTAAACTTTTTAACATTTTTAGTGGTGCTGGGTACATTTAGTACATTTTAAGTGGTGCTGTGAAAGATTTATACAACCATTATCTTTTTTGTAATAGAGTTTTGGATTAAACAAAATCTGCCATGTTTAGTAGCAGTCCAAAACTTCCATGTAGATTACATTAGCAATACAATATAACAACCCTATATGTGCATGGGTCATAGCTATCACATTATAATGTCAGAATACTTTTCAATGAATAAACACTGGAAAATCTCCATTGATTATACATGAGGCTATCTGGAAATTCTCTAAGACAACACAATTCTAAGCTCTATAAGCTTGTTAATAATAATAATATGAATGCATTGTATTTAGATAGCGTCTTTCAACACACACCAAAGCGCTTTACATAGCATTTTTCATTTACTCCACACTTAATAATGGTAAGCTACTTCCCTACCCACAGCTGCCCTGGGGTGACTGACAAAAGTGAGGCTCTCAATCTGTGACATTGCCTGTGGAACATGTGGCCCCCCCATCAGAGAAGTTACATAGTGCACCTTTACACTTGTAAGGTTATACAATATGTGGTGGTAGTAGTAGCAACAGCAGCAGTGAAACAGGTGTTGATGAGCTCTTCTGGCCAAATATGTGTTTCACTTCTGTTACCATGACAACCCAGCGTCTTGCGTAAGCCCTTTGCAATACTGTATATCCTACATACTCTGTCTTGTTAGGGTTGCTGTTTGTCACTGTGATTATAAGTGAAAGTTGAGGAAATGACATCAGGAGGTGGGCGGTGATTCAGAGTTTGTCCATAGACTTTTTTTTTTTTTTTAGCAAAAACGCCGGAGTGGACACTGACGGAATCTGGAAAGAATGCTTTTTGGGAGGAGAGCCTTGTACAGCCGTAAACAGAAAGTAAAGTGTGCCTCTGCTATAGTCCACTGTTTCGCCCAGGCCTCACTGTTCCCTTATAGACCAATTTGGCCTAATTTATGGACATGATGTCATACCCTGAGGCCAGTATTGTAGTGGAGAGATTAACTGCCATTAATCTGCACTTGTAATATCTTCCACTGAGCAGCTGGAAAGATGCAGGTCATAGCATTCATACTGCCTAAGCCGGCCTCATTGTTAGAGAAGCTATTACTTGGTTTGTTAAAAGGTGAATTGTCTTGTCCCTTATTATCAAAAGTGGTAGAGTAGCCCCCATTTGAACTCAAGACAGTGTCATTACTACTGCAAAATAATACCACTCAAGTTAAGTTTCACTATGTAACTTTTTGGTTGGGGGTCCGTCACCTGCTTGTTTACGTGAATATGTCATTGCTCTACCTAGAATGTTCCACAGTACGGCATTAAACAGCTCTATTTATATTTATTCAGTTAATGGTGGCTTTATAGTCCAAAAATACACAGGAAAACAGGCATTCTGACTGCCAGATTTCCACAGATTTAACCTGTCTCTTGGACTGGTTTGGTCTCCATAAAGGTAGAAAGATAATACCATACTGTGGAACATTCCAGACGAAGCAATAACATCTCCACAGAGAAAAGCATTTAACAGACCCTTCACCAGAAGTTACATAATGCACATTTATGTAAGTATTTGGGGAAACTGTTTCTCAAATAAGAGTAAGTGAATGAGCACTAGTTTGAATGTGATCTGATTTGTAATTTTGAATTATACAAACTTACAAAACATACAAAGACTTGAGTTTTCGGTCTACTTTAACATAATATTGGGTTTCCTTTACCTTCCTTTCGAGTAGAATTCACACATACTGCCTGTAGGGCTGTTTATTAATACTATTTCATGAGATCAAGGATTTTCAGGAGGCATTCAGATTTTGACTCAAGTGTTAAAGGAACTACAGACTTAGATGCTGCCTCCATCTAGTGGCCAAAGAGGGGAAGCAGTAGACGGTGACAAACATTGATTTAAAAAAAGTATATCAATGACAATTAAAAAATATATATACATTGTAAACTCAAATAAATACTTTTACACACTATGGATGTATTGTATGTACAGTGTTATTTTAGAAGTTTTGACAAATTCTCTTCCACACCCAATAATTTATTGATAATTTGCAGCTGATGTCATCAACATTTCCTAGGGTTGTGACGCTAACTGTAGACACTACTCTGTCTAAATATCTGTTATTCAAGTTAGACTTTATCTGAGTTTAATATATTTAATACAATCTGACCAGAAAGAGCGGACTTGGTTGGAACTACTACAGGTGAGCTGATTTGTAACAGTTAGCATTAGCATAGCATTAGCCAGCACTTTCACAGTTTTTGTAGAAAATCTAACTCCTAAACAGCACTATAAATGCTTGTATTGATCACGGGCTCCTGAAATATGATGTTTAAATCAATTTTGTATATTTTCATTTTCGTTTTTGTCTGTGTTTGCTAATGTATGCATTGTGTCACCGTTCTGCCAATGGAGATACATGTAGAACACCCCCAACATGATATCACTGCAAAGAATCAACAGTGTTGGGAGTAACGCGTATAAAAGTAACGAATTACAGTAATGCATTACTTTTTGCTGTAACGCAGTAATGTAAGGCATTACAGGGGAAAAAATAGTAATATTTTACTCGGTACAAATGTGAGTAACGCGCGTTACAGTGTTTTTTTTTAACCTGGATTGAAGTGGTGGGTTTTTCTTCATACAAATTCGCTAAAATCACCTCGATATCAGCAGCGGTGAAACGCCGGAGATGCGCCCTCATAGACCTTCAGGTAACCGCGGGCGAAAGGACTGACAAAGAACTCCACGCTGTTTAGACCTGGTTTAGACCTGGGTCAGTTCTGGTTTAGACCTGGTTTACACTCGTCCCTCCCTCTATCGCAGTTCACTTTTCGCTGTCTCGCAGATTTTTATTTTATTTTATTTTTATTTTTTTGTGCAATTTTGCATGCCCTGTTTTTTTTTTACATTGTATGAATGCGTATTGCGTTCCTCCCGCTGCGTCCTGACTGGCCAAGGGACTCCTGTCTCCTGTACAGTACAGTACAGAATGTGTTCAGCTGCCAAATTTAAATACATGTTCAATCTCTAGCAGTGTGATTCTGAAGTGCGGTACGGTTGCAAGTTTTCTCCCCGACGAAACCCACAACGTCGACGAAACGTTCTGCACCGACAAAGGCTCCTGCGCTCGCACCTAAAAGGCAGAGGACGATGCAAACCATCACACAAAAAGTTGGACTTCTGGACACGCTGAAGGAAGGTAGAAGTTACGCGCTGTAACAGAGTCTTGCACCGGCTCGGGTCCCTGCAAATAGTTGCTGAAATCAGGGCCGCGAGCCCGAGCAGCAGGGTCCATAAAGAGCGATCGGGCGACAGCAGCTCTTACCTCCATGAGGTGCGGAGCAGAGCCGCTCCTTTCTCCTGCGGTCACCTTCAAGCCCTTCCCTACAGTGAGTCCTGTTTTAGTCCTAGTTCAGTTCTAGTTTAGTCCTAGTTCACTTCTGGTTTAGTCCTGGTTTAGACCTGGTTTAGTCCTGGTTCAGTCCATATACAGCGCAAAAGTTATTTTGGTGAGAGTAACTTAAAGTAATGCAATAGTAATGTAATGCCTTACATTTTAAATGCAGTAATATTGTAATCACTGTTGGGCAAGTTACTTTGAAACTGTAATGCGTTATTTATTACCTATTACTGTAATTTCAAAGTAATTCGTTACATTACAATATTACTGCATTTAAAATGTAAGGCATTACATTACTATTGCATTACTTTAAGTTACTCTCACCAAAATAACTTTTGCGCTGTATATGGACTGAACCAGGACTAAACCAGGTCTAAACCAGGACTAAACCAGAAGTGAACTAGGACTAAACTAGAACTGAACTAGGACTAAAACAGGACTCACTGTAGGGAAGGGCTTGAAGGTGACCGCAGGAGAAAGGAGCGGCTCTGCTCCGCACCTCATGGAGGTAAGAGCTGCTGTCGCCCGATCGCTCTTTATGGACCCTGCTGCTCGGGCTCGCGGCCCTGATTTCAGCAACTATTTGCAGGGACCCGAGCCGGTGCAAGAGTCTGTTACAGCGCGTAACTTCTACCTTCCTTCAGCGTGTCCAGAAGTCCAACTTTTTGTGTGATGGTTTGCATCGTCCTCTGCCTTTTAGGTGCGAGCGCAGGAGCCTTTGTCGGTGCAGAACGTTTCGTCGACGTTGTGGGTTTCGTCGGGGAGAAAACTTACAACCGTACAGCACTTCAGAATCACACTGCTAGAGATTGAACATGTATTTAAATTTGGCAGCTGAACACATTCTGTACTGTACTGTACAGGAGACAGGAGTCCCTTGGCCAGTCAGGACGCAGCGGGAGGAACGCAATACGCATTCATACAATGTAAAAAAAAACAGGGCATGCAAAATTGCACAAAAAAAATAAAAATAAAAATCTGCGAGACAGCGAAAAGTGAACTGCGATAGAGGAAGGGACGAGTGTAAACCAGCATCTCCGGCGTTTCACCGCTGCTGATATCGAGGTGATTTTAGCAAATTTGTATGAAGAAAAACCCACCACTTCAATCCAGGTTAAAAAAAACACTGTAACGCGCGTTACTCACATTTGTACCGAGTAAAATATTACTATTTTTTCCCCTGTAATGCCTTACATTACTGCGTTACAGCAAAAAGTAATGCATTACTGTAATTCGTTACTTTTATAACGCGTTACTCCCAACACTGATTGTAATGTAACTAATTACTTTGAAATGACAGTAATAGGTAATAAATAACGCATTACAGTTTCAAAGTAACTTGCCCAACAGTGAGAATCAATAGCCTATATACATACTGATCTGTAGTTATGTTTTATCTGTATTGTACATAATTATGGGTATTTGATATTGCACTTATTAAACTTGTCCGCTCTCCTAATTACGTGGCATGTTTGTATAGATGTTTCCGTGTCCTCTCTGCTGATTTTCTTTACAGTCCAGATTGTCTGTGGCGAGGAGGAGGTACGAATGGTTTAAGAAATCTGAGACCCCTAACGAATCCCCACGTGGTAACCAATACTCTGAACTTTGTGGTGAGTTTTGCTGCATTTCTACACTTAGGTCATCATCCTTATTGTCTATCAGATCTTCACAAATATAACTGTTCTCCTTTGAGCACATAATAACTGAGTTTATGTTTAGGGCTACGTAGTCTGGATACAGCTCTGTCTCTATGCTGTTGTCCTCCGGCTCCACACTGGAATACGAGGTGTCAGAAGTGGAAAGGAGAGCTGCAGATTTTTCCAAAGATTCCTCCAATCCTGAATCATACTCCATGGACAGGACCTCTACTACAGATGCAGTGGTTTCCGCGTACATCTGCTTGACTGTTGCTGGAGCATCCTGGTAAGAGAAACACAGATATTTTAAAGGTTACCATATGAATTTGTTTTGTTACACTTAAATAATTGTATAATATCATACCCATTTGTGCTGTTTAAGGTCTAATAGAAAGCCTTGAAGGACTTTGTCAAGGTTAGGAACAGGTGGCCAAAAATACAATTTCAGCTTACTGTGAAAATGCAATTCATAGATGTTAGTGTTAAATGTTAATGATAGTGTTAGTGAAAAATTTGAAAGAAATTTGAAAATTAAAGGTGTAATGTGCAACTTTTCTGGTGAAGGATCCATCACCTGCCTGTCTCTAGAGAGATGTTATTACGCTGTCTGGAATGCTCCATGGTATAACACACGCATCTAGCATTTATTCATTACAGGTGTTTCTATTGCTCAAAAGTAGAATAATTCCTTCTGTGAATAGGGGTGACTCCATAGATCTGAATTGTAAGGTAGCATAGTGCTGTAACCTGCTCATGATAAATAGGTTTATTCAGTACTGTGGAACATTCTAGACAAAACAATAACCATTTCCATGGAGACAAGCAAGTAGCAGACCCTGCTCCAAAAAAGTTACTCAATGGACCTTGTGAATATGAATTTTTTTTGGAATGTACTTACTTGAAATACTTGTAAAACAAAAAATTAAGATTACTGCAAAGACCAGAAGCAAGACAGGGCTGCACTGGATGAGCAACATGACACGAGATGATAAGTGAGCTGGAAAGCCAAGAGAAAAAATACATATATTTTCCGTATGGAATGCATCATGTGACTTTTGGTTGGGGGTCTGCTACCTCCACGTCTCCATAAGGATGTAAGTGCTTTGCCTGAAATGTTCCACTGTATGGCATTAAGCTTGTCAACTTCACATTAATTCAATTACACAGATCTCATAAGTTTGATACCATACTGTGGAGCATTCCAGGCAAACCAAAAACACCTCAATGAATACAAGAAGGTGGCAGACATCAGAAAATAATTTATATTACAATAATTTACTGTCACTAAATTGAATGTATTGAAATGTCCAAAGGTGCATAATACTTTAAAGCTCTTATATTAGGCAAAATTGACTCTTATGAGCTTTTAGCCAAGTCAGAATGCCATAAATTACCGCATCAACAACATGCTTGTAATTTGCCTTACATTACTCTAAAATATATTCTTGTAAGTACCTGGGACGTCTCCAGTGAGCACTTCAGACCAGTCACTCCACTGACCAGAATACTCTGGACCATAAGGTTTGACCCTGATTTTCACATTAAACTGACAGCACCAGGAGACCTTCAGACACACTGCAGTCTCTGGACCATCCACAGAAATAGTCTGTATACAAAAAGGTAATATTTTTTCAACATGTATTTATATTATAATGTATCAGTGAAAGTAATTTAAAATCCTGATTTAGTATTAGACAGTATTTGTTTTAAAAAGGGTCCTTAACAAGTATTTTCACTATTGTCTAGATATAAAAATGAACAATATATTTTCAACATTTAGTTACATGTATTGTGTATTTGAGTAAGAAAACTGTAATTATAGACAGTTATATATAAAGCAAATGGGTCCAAAACAAATGTTTGTACTTTGTCATGTCTCAATAGCACTATCTAGTGACCTTATTTGTACATGCAGCCTGAATGTTTTATATACAACAGATTAGCAGTCTTTTGAAACTATTTAGTGAAATAAAACTACGATAAAGTTCTTACGGTCCAGTGTTTCTCTTCTGATGGTTTGTAATTGACCTCATACTGCAGATGGGATGACAGAGCAGGGAGAGGAGGATCCCAGTTTACACACATCTTATCTGTCTCATTCTGTTTAAGATGACTTGGAGCTCGGGATTTGACTGGAAAGAAAAAAAAAATTAATAATACATAAAAAAACATGATATAATAGCATCCCAATATAAAAAACAAACAAACTGCAGTCTTACTAGCATTACTGAGTTTGAAGTCTTCAGCATAGAAGGTCCTGCTGAGTGGAGCCAGTGGATTGATAATCTTAATTCTGAATTTACTGTCAATGTTGCCATAGAAAGCACACATTTCAGTCCAATTAATCTGAGGATTGCATTCAGTCCACTTTGTCCAACCTTGTGATTCACTGTATGGAATATAAAAGCATATTACATGATAAATTAGGGGGGAAATATGGTATTAGTAGCAGTGGTAGCCCAAGTGAGATAAGTAGTTGTAGTAGTTGGTAATGGGCTTGTCAATACTAAAACTAGTATATTAAAACTAGATACTCATTTGAGCAGGTATCGATACTAAAAAAGTAACATTCACAGAACAGAAATAAACCTTTCCTGAATATCTCTAGAATGCTCTTGAGCTGTATCAGAACAAGTTTAAGCCACCTGTAAGTATAAGTACAAGTATAAGTATAAAAGTAAAGTAGTTGGTAGTAGTAAATGGTAATGGTAGTAGTAAATGGTAAGTATAAAATAATTGATCAATTCTGTAGTTAGTATTAGTAGTTAGTAGTTTTTGTACATTTTCTATTGGCTAGTAGTAGTTTAGTAAATAGTAGGGTTAGTACTGGTCACAGTAAGAAGTTGTAGTAATAGTTGTTTTTGTGTTACTATTTTCACATTTGTTTTAAGTAGTAGTATTTTTTCCATTATTTTTCCATTTGAACATTGACCAACCTCAATCCCATTTTATAGAATAGTTTGTAGTCTGTCTCTATATTGTATATGCTCCCATCCCACTGACATGTGACGTTGGTCAAATCCTCTGTGTAGCACTGCAGGGAAATGTCATCTGTAAAAATACATTGTGTTATATGGAATTACATGGCTCAGTAATGGCTCTATGTAATTTATTTTTTATTTGCTCATGCAGTAAATGCTGTTGAAGATCACTGGACAGACCTGCAGACTGGGGGACCACAGCCTGTACATGTGGTGACCAATGGCTCCAGTGTCCTGTAGATTTATTGGGTGAGCATCGGACAGAGACTTGAACTTTGACCTCTTCTCCTGGCACCAGCCCAGTCAAGGTGTCACTGAATGTTCTCTGACCCTATTGCGATCATTCACATATTAGAGTTTGTTTGTTTGTTTCAGATATTCATGATGAATGAGTGATGAAACAAACACAACGTTCTAACAAACTCTAAATGTATCCATGGGTTTCAGAATGATAAAAAATGACAACTGTTGCCATGGGGATATATCAATTTTAAACCAAATAGTAATAAATATATGTGAGCAAAACAGCTAAAATATTGAATAAATGAAAGCATACATATAAAAGTACCTAAGGGCCTAAATCTCATCTCATCTATAAAAATATCTTGTTACTTAGTTACTTGTGACTTAGTTTTATGTAGTGAGTAGCAATTACCTCTTTTATTTTCTCCTTCATGCTCTTTGAAGAGAATCGAATCATGTAGTACACATTAAATGCACATTTGGCCTGCCATGAAACCTGTAGCTCTCCAATCTTCTCATTTTGTGTGATGGAAATGATTTTGGGCGGCTTTGGAAGAACTGGAAAAAGATTACCATAGTTTAGAATCAATTTTATTATTTTACTCTTTACTCTTATGAGCTTTTAGCTATGTGAGAATCTTGTTACCTTACCAAAAACATACCTGGAGTTGTGTTTTGTTTCATTTACACATATTTGAGCAACTCACTATTATTAGTCAACATCTTCAAAGCTCATAATAATGTGTTCCACGTGATGTCATGAAGTGACATGTATTTTTCAAGTAAAGTTACCCTTAAGCTTTAGTTCTGTAGAGACTGGGAATTCAAGGACTGAAATTAGCCAAATGGTTCTAGTTTAAAATACAGTGTAGCACTTCCTGTATTATTATAAATTTATTTAATCACTGATGTGCCACTGGTAAAAAACAATTGAGCTTGCATTATTTCTGTGAGTGAAATCACCTCTGCAGAGATCTGACCAGTAACTTCACCTGCTTTTCTCCATGAAGTTGAGGAGGTTGGTTTTATTTACAGACTTTATATATAAATCTTATTCTTTATACAGTCTAACAGTAACAACTCCATGGAGACAAGGAGGTAGAGGTGCCCCCTAGCTGAAAAGTTACGCAGTGCACCTTTAAAGCCCACGTGTATCTATGAGCAATATAACAAACTGTACCATTATCCTCCACAGTGACTTTCCGTGTATACAGGCTGCTGTTACTGGTTTGGTCCAGCACTTCCAGAAGAATCTCATCAAACAAGAAGATGTCAGACTCAGGGAAGGAGCAGATGTGGAGAAGGCCCAAATCTTCTGATCTCTGGAGCTGCACCTTACACTTTGTTCTTCTGGGGGGACTGGAGTAGAGACAACACAGTAGGTAGTGTATTAAAACATGCAATATTTTCAGTTACAATAGGGATGGGACCATAGACTGCATATATAAATGGACATATCTAAATAAGAAGTGAGCATAGGGACACTTACACTGAAAAATGATCACGCCTCTCTGTAACTACTATGGCTAGGTATCATTAAGAAGTTGCCAATACAATACATACCTTGCTACATAGGCCACGATACGATACATATCTCAATACAGTGCACTTTCGGTTCGATATGATCAAATCAATTCGATACTTTTTTATAAACAATAATGGCTAAATGGTGGCTGTGTTATAAAATTTCTTTGTTAAACCACTTCTTGCGCAAAGAACACCCACACCCATTTTACTCATCAAAACAGTGAAAATGTCAAATTTGTTGCATAAATGAGTTTCCTTCCTTTAAACAAGCAACAAAACTGTAACGCAATAAAATAATTTTGTAAAATATACAAAAATATACTCTTGCCAATATATCGACACAGCAGTCCACGATATCGATACTGTACCATCACATTAAATGATAAGATATATCAATATTTTCGCACACCCCTAGGTAGAGAGCCTAGTCATTTTGGTGTTCGTATTAACACCATTTTAAAATGTTCATATTAACCCGATCTACATGATCCTGGTGTTTTTTATTTTCTTATTTTGTCAGTAAATAAAATCCTGTTCCTAATATGGAACTCGGCTCCAAAGTTGAGCCGATGGTTCTTGCCTTGGTGAGCTTCATTTGACTGGAGCCAAAAGCCATGGGTGACATCACACTTAGTCCACTTCTTTAGACTAAAGTCTATGGATGGGACAAGATCTTGTGTCACAAAATCTTGCAAAAAGAAAATTGCCACAAGGATGTGCATACATGTGGACAATGATTTCATGAGATTTTTTCCGCATGTTTAAATTTGCTTAGAACAAATAAGGGTTAACTTTGCATTTAAAGGTCCCATATTATGCAAATTTTATTCCTGTGGGCTTTTGGTCATGTTACAATGTTGTTACTTCATCAAAAACATACCAGGAGGTGTGTTTTGTTTCATTCACACATGTTTGAGTAATACTATAATTTGTCTGTCTACCTCAGCAAAGTACAAAAAGCTCTGTTCCACCTGTGATGTCATGAAGTGAGAGTGTTCAAGTTAACAGCTACCTTTTGTCTTTTGTTCTGTAGAGTTTTGGCAATCCCAGGGCTGAAAAGTTTCCACAATTCTAGTGAAGGTGTATGGAGTTTAAAAACACAGTGGAGTATTTATTTTATTACCACATGACATCACAAGGTGGAACAGAGTGTTTTCTGTTTTATAGAAGAACTAAGCCTAAATATGCAGGGTTTGTGTGTTAAACTTTGTGTTAAAGATTTGTGATGAGGAAACAACATTTGAACAGAGATCAGAAAATAGAGTAATAAGAGCACTTTAAGAAAGTGTAGGTTGAAAAGGCAGTGCTACAGTTACAACAAAAATGTAAAATTAAATAAATCAATAATTGTAAACCCAAAATTATCAACAGAACCGCAAAATGTTGTTATTGTAAATTATGTCAAAATCTTGTTTTCTCGTTCTTGTGGACCCAATCTCGTGTTGTGTCTTGGCCCATCCATGGTTACAAAGATGAAAAATGAAATAAATTAAACTCTGTACTTGTCTGTGGTGTAGTAGAAGTCATAAGAGGAGTTGTCTCGTGTCGCAAAAAAACAGGTGAAATCTTGTGCATTTCCATCCAGAGTCAGGCATTTTGGATTTGGTTCATCTTTCAGTAGCAAAACATCTGTGAAATGATAAAATGACAAAATCACATGCATTATTTTGAATGAAGCATTCCCAACTATTTTGTATGTTTTATAAATATATATTTTTTTAATATACAGAATATTCTAGGTTATGACTTTTTAAGATGTTAAGAAATGAAGATCCTGATAAAAAAAAAAAAAAAAAAACTGTTATTATTACATAGCCTGTTGGATTGTTAAAAATAAAAGTATAAAAATACACAAGTAGTGGTGAGTTCTACAATAGCATACCTCATTTATGTCATTAACACCAAAAACTAGGGTTGGCAGAAGTAAATAAAAAATCAGATACTAAAAGATATGAAAACTAATATTGAAACTAGATACTGATTTGAACAAGTATCAATACTAAAAAGTCACATTCACAGGACAGAAATGAACCTTTCCTGAATAGCTTTAGAATGATCTTGAGCTGTATCAAAAATAAGTATAAAAACTAGAAAAAAATGTAAAAGAAATGTACACTATATATATGATCTTTCTAACTTTGATACAATCATACAAAAATATTAAATGTGATAATTCTGTTTAAAGTATAATAATAATAATAATAATAATTTTGAAAAAATCCTACCTTTCTCAGGCAAATACTGCCCAGGCTTTATTCCAGATGTGAAGATAACAAGGGTCCATAGAAGGATGCACCTGCAGGCCCAATGCATAATTAGTCTGTGTACTTTACTCCTACTACTACTACTACTACCACTACTACTACAGTAACATAGGAGTACATGTGTATTGTTCCAGTGCAGGGGCAGAGGTATCAGATCTGAGACCCAAACTGACAGTTCACACAGGAGCAGGAAACATGTGTCAACTCTGGAAGTCTCCAAATAAGGAGGAGAGAGGGAGGAGACTGTTATGTTTACGAGTAGAGTATATGAATGCAGTTGATAACAAAGAGGAGTTTAAATGATGTCTGATGTGTAAACGTGACTAGGCCGAGAGGTCTTAAGAGGTTAATAATACTGTACAATGTAATATTTACCAAATCATATGAAATGTTAATTACAGTACACATGAATATGTAGCCTCTGTCCTTTGTTTGCCCTGTTTAGTAGCAAGTTCAATGAAACCATTAATTAGTACAGAATAGAAACAGAATTTAACCAAGAACCTATTTAAAGCTCTGTTTTTGCCTTCTGTATGTGTATGCCATACATATTCTGGCCAATTAATTACATCATTTATGATTTATCATTATGATAACATATATACATATCTTCTAAGTGTGGTATCTCCATTTTATTTGTAGTACTTCCTAGTTAAATTCCTGATCTTATTCTTTCAGTATTGAGCATATTGACACTGGCAGAGTGATTTTTACTTCTTCTGGTTTTTCTATTAAAGGTTTATCAACATGCTGCTTTTTCTGTGTTGAGTTTGTGTTTCCTCTGTACACTCCAGTTCCTCATCATCTGGAGATGGGTCCCTGGGCTCCTGACTGGCTACCCAATAGCACTGAAACATGGGTCAAATGCAGTGGAGATTTATAAAGTTTATCTTAATTTTACTTTGTCTTCTCGTGCCCTTATTGCCTGAGGTCACCATTAGAGCCCAGGTCAGACCTCACACCACAGTTACACAAAGTTCCTTTAAACTCACCACAACCGTCGTTGCATGTCTCTTTTCTGCATGTGTGCATTATCTCCAGCCACAGGTCTGCAGTGCATGCCAGGACAACTCTATGTGTACAACTGAACCTAAGTCACTTCTTCAATATAATTTATGGTCTATAGTAGCATCAACTGAACCATACCATGCATGTTGAGCTATGTACACCCTTTGCTAATAAGATCAGAAGGGTGGAACAATACAAATAGTGCAAATTAATGATATTGCAATGTGAAATGTGCAATATTACTATGAACTTAGTTACTTTGGTTACCGCTACATAAGATAAGATACACAAAGATAAAGTATTTCATTGGCATTAATTGTTAAATTTATTTTACTACACAAGTTACAGTATTTTTCCTTGCACTTCTATTTCACTTCTCTTTTCATTCAATTCTACTAGAGCCCACATTGCGAATCATGTTTTTTATAATATTTGTGTCTACAATTTGTTGCTTCTAAAATATTATATATTGTACTAAAATATAAACTAAAATGCTTTACTCAGATGCTTGATGGAATTGCAAAAGATTTCACCTAAAAAAAACCTCATTGACACAACCTTCATGATAAGTTTCATCCACAAATACATCTCTGTGGCAAAACGAAAGAGTTAAATCCTGTTGATGTTTTTGCAAAACTGATAAATAGCTTCTACTAGCATGACACTTTTAGACTTTATTTATCCACAATGGAAATTATTTCTAAACTACATGACCCTCTTAAGTAGTAAACCCTCTAGTAATCTACGTGACCCTCTAAATCTCTCTGTCTTTGTGTTTTTGGGAGCAGCAGGAAGTGTTTGACTGGCATCTCTGGCCCGGTGGTGGTCTTTGGAGGAAGCACAGTGACAGATCAGCTCTGTGCAGGAGGAGCAGAAACTAGCTGTGAGCTCACCGCACCGACACTGGCCCCAGACGAGCTGCTTGTGGTTAGGTTTGTCATTTCCACCTTTTCAAGACAAAAACACTAAACTTCAACAGTAGTTAACTTGCATATGATGGGTTTTCAGTTTTTTTTGTTTTGTTTTGTTTTTTTACTATTACTTGGTCTGAGGGATAGTTGAAAAGAAAAGTAGTGGAGTTTTAAAATTGATTTATTTATGCCATTAACACCGAAAACTACGGTTGGCAAAACTATTGAAAACAGGATCGATACTAAAACTAGTATATTGAAACTAGATACTCATTTGAGCAGGTATCAATACTAAAAATGTCGCTTTCACAGGACAGAAATTTACTTTTCCTGAATAACTTTTGTATGATGTTGAGCTGTATCAGAATGAAGTATAAGAGCACATAGATTAATATACACTCATGGACCACTATCGAACCTACCTGGACGATTGAGGGATTACAAAGATATAAGGCTACATGGTACAATATAATATATATAAATAATTTTCTATTGTCTAAATAAAAAGTTTTTAAATTATAACTGTGATTTTGAAATCGGTGTTGCGTATTGAGTCTATTCCTTAGCATCGAAATTGCGTTTGAAATTTTAGTATTGTGACAACACTATCGAAAACTCCATCCACACTTTACAAGGAAGTAATTTTTCAGACAGATTAAAAAATCATTAAGACCACAATCATAATCATAATCATAATCAGTAACACCATAATAAGGCGTTAATATCTACTTTTCTACTCTAGGTAACAGTTAATTCCAGAACCATAATGTAAACAAAGGCCAAAACTTCTGCATATTCATGTCTGCTGCCCATGTCCAACCAGAAAGTCAAATTATAAACTTCACCAAAATGTAAAAAAGTGAATTGAATAGTCTAATGTTCTGCCACATGGACTTTAAAGCTTTTGTTTTTCAATATGTGCAGCAAACATTGATATAAATATGAGAACACTTCGATTACAAGTAGTTGTGGTACAATGCCATAACGGACAGTTTATGTAAAAAAAAGTTGCAACAATGCATGAACATTTACGTGACTTCACCATATGGTGCTAATAGACAAGTATTACAGTAATTACATTTACAGAGGACAGTCAGTTCATCTTAATGATTAGAGAACTCAATTTCATATCATAGCGTAGGTTAAAGTGAACTGACAAGCAATGCTCACCATTCTTAGCAACAGTGAAAGATAACTGCAATTATATGATAAAAAAACCCCCCCACAAAACTACAGTTACAGCATAATGCAACTATTCATAAGAAATTTGAATCCAACTTTACTTCACACCACAGTAACCGAGGGTGCGTTCACACTTGCACAAGCATATCATAATTGGGACTAAACTAGGACTAAACCCAGTACTTAACCTAGACTAGACCAGGACTTAACCAGGACTATAGCAGAACATATTATAGCCTATAGAAAATACTAACCATGTTTCCTAGTAGTTTGCAGTCTGCACACTGTATTATAGTTGGGATTAATCACGTTGCCATAACATTACGTTGAATGACAGACGTGTCCTACTTGACACTGCACTTTTCCAGGCACATTTACACATATTCTGGTTTGGCTTTTGGTTTGAGGCCATTTAAGTCTTGACATAGACTTGGTTTGGTTTAGTCCTGGCTTAATTCCAAGTTAACATGCTGTCTTCATCCTATTACCTTGATATTACTGTGTTGTAAAGTGCAACTGCAATATGTAAATTCATGAGCTGCAGGAGACTCTCAGTTCAACAATGTTATCTTCCACTGTGGGTATTTCCTTTATACAACACTATGACGACTTAGCTGCGTCAATACCAGTAACTTAACCACAGATTTTATCTTAACTTGACTCTGTGATGACGCTTGCTTGTCTCCATGAAGATCGATGAGTTTCATCTTACTATGGGACATTTTAGGCAAAGCAATAACATTTGCATGGAGAGACAAGTGAGTGGGAGACCCTACACCAGAAACGTTACATAGTACACCTTTAAAGTGTAAAAGTTCAGTTCAGCAAAATTAGTATTGACCCTTCTATGAAATAGTACAAAATAATATGAGGCATATAACTGGTCTAAAACATACAAATACATATAGTAGTAGTAGTTTACATACAGTACATTCATATGGCAGTGGTATGCAAAAGTACAGTCTAACAAACAATGATAGTAAAACTGTTAAGTGCTACAATGTGTGTTGAACTTGATCGACGCGATTCACAGTTTTTGTTGTTATAAAAATGTCTTTGCTAACATCCTCCCCTCAGACTCTTTGGTGTCACATAGCTCCATCCCATAGCTCTTCTGTAGCATTCACACTTGTACCAGCAAATTTCCAACTAGCATCCAAGACCAACCCCAAAATGTCCTCATGTCATTGTACAGTGTCCTATCACAGTTCTAGTCCTAATGCTGGCTGCTTCGAGTCCGGGTGGAGCGCCTGCCTCTCCTGCCTTGATGGAGAGGTGGGTGGCAGTAGCGCGGTGCCCAGCCTCGGCTCCTCCTGGTGGGGCTACGGGGCGTCCTAGAGTCTGGGGGGGCTGGTAGTCAGGCCTCTTCAGCGGTGGCGTCGATCCCAGCATAGGTGAAGTTCTCAAACAGAGCCATGTTGACGTAAGCCTGACAAAGAAAGTTGTATTCAAGTTGTATTCAAGTGACAATACTGACAAAAGATGAGGCTGTTTAATTTATTAGTGTTTTTAACCTATTCTGTATACCATTTTGATTGCATTTTAGCTATATAAAATGCAGATGAAAGTATATTTAGATAATGATTGCTCTGGGCCCATGTAGCCAATGTGAAGAGGTTTTATTTTGAACACCTACTTGTTCTTTATAATTTAATAGTAATGCACAATATTGAGGCCAACGTTATTGATACATAGACTGTATAAAGAAGTGGCCTAAGGGAGTGCGACGTCACCAGTAGCGTATTATAGGCTCCAGTCAAATTTAGTTCATGAAGCTAGGAATTTGGAGCCCAGTTCCATATTAGGAGTAGGAATTTATTTAAGGAAAATAGTGAAAAAACACCAGGATCGTATAGGCTGGGTAAATTTTAAGACAAAAATGGCGAGGCTCACAGCAGAAGATACAGAGAGAGGGTCGACATTTTTTCAAAGTAAAGTCAATTGGAGTTCATGGAGCCAAAAGCGCCCCCATGTTCACTTCCTATTGGGAATGTGGCAGCTATGTCCATTTATATACAGTCTATGGTATGATATGATACTATGAGACCTTAATAAACTGTGCCAATGCTGTGAGTTACATTTGAATATTGTTACATCTATTGATTGGCCTGGGACAGATTAGAGGAAGTGTCCGGGGAGTTTAAAGGCAGACAATCAGTTTTCACAGCTTTTTCTTCAGAAGTATTTCAAAACAAACTAATTTCCTTTTTACTATTGCAAATAGCTGTGATGACTTACCTTCCTGGCCTCTTGCATCCTGCTGAGCTGCACTGAGATCTGAGAGAAGGGTGGTCTCTCATAAGGCCTGTCCCTCCAGCACTGTCTCATCAGCTCATAACTGCAAATACACAACAGAAATGGAGTACTCAAAAATGATATTCAAGTAAGAGTACTGTTACTTTAAGATAATATTACTCAACTAGGAGTAGTACTAATGATTCAAGAAGTAATATTTTGGGGGAAAGTTGTATTCAAGTTCATGTAACTGTAAAAGTAACTGGACTTTAATCTGATTTATACTTGAAGTTAAGGTAATTGAAGGAACAAAGCATAGAATAATGTAAACTAACTGGTATTTTTAGGAACAGACTAAAAGTTAGAAAAGGTAATAGTGCTTCAAACAAAAAAAGTAATTTACTATGGTCAGCAAAGCTTTTGTCGCTTGTAGACTCAGAAAAGTTACTTAGAAAGGTAAAAGGTACTTACACTTCATCGTCACAGTTTTTGGGTTGCTCCATCCTGTATCCTTGTGGTAGTTTCTCATAGAGTTCAGCACATGTCATACCACAATATGGCGTGCCACCTAAAAACACCAGCCCAAAAATGTTAATATTAGTTGACAAATGGCCACCCTATATTATCATACTGTAGTACTCACCTAGACTCACTATTTCCCAAAGAAGAACACCGAATGACCATCTGAAACATTGGCAACAATTGTATGTATTAGAGAACACAGGCTGGCAGTTATTATATTTTACTATATTTTTTATTGCATTATTTTACATCAGGGGAACTATTCACTATTTCAAGTGTAAAATAAGAACTACAAATTGACTCTTTATTATATGGAGCTCCTGTATTTACACCAGGGGTGCTCACACTTTTTCAGCATGTGAGCTACTTACAAAACGACTAAGTCATAATGATCTACCTAATACAAAGCCAAGCAAACTGCACTGAAACACTCTGTGCCCCTTTTTTGGACCCTCACCCACAGTTTGAGAACCCCTTCTTTAAGAGAACTTCCTCTGGCACTTTACACAAAACTGTGAAAAAAGAAGGAAGATTTTTAAACCTGTTTTTTAAAGTTCCAAACTGGAGTTGAATTATTTTCTGGTTTTGCAGTGATATTTACCAGCCTCTACACGTTTACCAAACCAAACGCACATCGTGACAAACACAGATGCATTTGTGCACTTTTGTTAGGTAAACTTCAGCCAAATGTGGCAGTAGGTCTGTTTTGTAGGTCTGCCCTCTGCTGTAGACCTGCTTTGTGCCAACACACAAATTTAGACTTGTTTTTGCTTCATGTTTCGTCTTGGTCTTCTAATCAGCGCACTGTGGGAGGGGCTTGTGTTCGCTGTACGCAGGAAGGAGCGAGAGCGTGAAAAGGTGAGGGGCGGCGTGCTGACGTGAGGCAGATGGACAGGTAGGATGTTAAGGAAGTTTAACCTGCCCTGTGATGCACGCTGGTACACGAGGGCACACACTGTTGCAGACAAGCCATGCATAGGGAGCGTGTGTATTATGATGTGCTGTAGAGTCTCCGCGGGCTGCACTGAGCGCACAGGCTGCACTGAGACGCCCCACACGCTCCTGCACCCCGCTACAAGTTTATTGCCAACAGCAGCGGCCGTAATGAAATATGATCGCACTTGTTGAGTGTCAGACCTTGAGTGAGAGACAAGACCGAGTCCAAACGCGAGTCCGAGACGAGACACGGCGATCGACTGGTAGATCGCGATCGATGTATTGAGCACCCCTGATTTACACAGTATATACATACTCACACCTTAATTGACACTTTAATATTATTTTAGTCCTTATTATTAGTTATTTTTTTATTTGTTTCTATTATATTTATACTGTTATATGTATTTAAACTTTAAAACACATAACTTATTCCATTAAAATATCACAATTATTTTATATGCAATTTTGTAAGCAGTATATGTAAAATGAAGTTAAACACATTCTTTACGTAGCTAATTCAAATGATTTCCACATACAAAGACAGCAGTGTCTAAATCATCACCACAATGAAATATAACCACATCTCTTGTTATCTGTTTCTAAAAAGCAGAAGTCTTGTCTGCATGTGGTAGGCTTGTGGACCACACAAATATTGCATTGCGCTGCTGCCTTCCTCTGAATTTGTTTTTCTGAGGTCTTTTGTATGATATCTGGTATCTGTCTGTCTGGTATCTGGTATCTTGTTTACCACTGCTAGCTAGGCACTCTTCCATTGGTTGTCTTATTGGTTGTGTTCTTCTTTGCTGTATATAAATAGAACCTGGTTGGCAATTGCTAATGTCTCAGTTAACAAACTAACTCGTGCTCAGAGTGTCCTATCTCCCACACCCTACTGCCACCCCAACAGTGATGAGGAATGTTGAGTTGTTATTTTCCAATTGTTTTCTTTGCATTTTCGTGAATCTCAGTCAATATGAATCTTGTTTTTTGTATGTATCTTTTTGAAGTTGCTTAATGTAATTTAAGGTGCAAATCTAATGCAAAAATAAGGCCAAATTGACTAGAAGGTTGCACAGTATGGCATTAAACCCCTCTCCTGGAAACGAACAGGTGGACTTACCAAGACTAGGTCAGATCTATAGATAAGCAACCTCACTTATTTTAAGAATGCAACAAAACACAGCAAAAGCAGGTGACAGACCTTCCACCCAAAAAGCTACATTGTGCACATTTAAAAGAATGAAGTTACTGAACTCTGGTCAGATAACTAAAAGAACTGTTCACTGTTTCAAGTGTAAAATAAGAACTACAGATTGACTCATTTTCATATGGAACTCTTGTATTTACACAATATAATTAATGTGTATTCAAGAATTCACACTTTAACATTATTTTTGTGATTATTATTAGTTATATATTTATATAGATTATTGTACTATATTTATTTAAGCTTAAAAACACATAAATTATTATATATTAAATTACCACAATCATTTAATATGCAATTTTGGAAGCAGTATATATAAAACATATACATATTTTTTATGTTTCTAATTCAGATGATTTCCACATAACGACACAGCAATGTCTTAATCATCCCCACAATGAAATAAAACTACATCTCCTGTAAATGTGTCTAATAAGCAGAAGTCTCATCTGCATGTGGCAGACACACCCTCCACCAAAAAAGTTTCACTTTTAAAAGAATTTGGTAACTGAACGCTGGTCAGATAACTAACGCAATACTACGAATCTTTAAAAGTTACATACACATCACTCTTGGTCGTGTACACGCTGTAGTTTAGAGACTCAATGGCCATCCAGCGCACAGGAAGGCGACCCTGAACATCAAGAAAAGCAGAATGTAACATCAATACAAAAAGTTGATGAGTTTACTTACTACCCATTCCATTCGCAAGTTTACAACTAACAAATACTGTATTAGTTCAAAATACATTCACCTTTTTACTGCCCTCTAGTGGAAAAAATTAAACAATCTAATGCAAAAATAAGGCCAAATGCAAAAGAACTAAAAAGGGTGGAGAGGAATAAAGTTACAGTTACCTAAACAATTTTAATTAGATAAGAGAAATGAAGTCAGAATATGAGATCCCAAAGCTCCAGGCTGAACTCACCATTGTTTTCTTGACATAAACTTCCTCTCCTCGGGATAAGCCAAAGTCTGCTATCTTCGCTACAAGGTTATCCCCCACAAGCACATTTCTGGCAGCCAAATCTCTGTGTATGAACTGGTAAGAAAACAAACAATGACATAAGAAATCTGAAAGTATTTAACAACTTTAATATGGTTTAGTTGTACGCCCTACCTGTTTGTCACTCAGATAGTGCATCCCATTGGCCACATCTACAGCGAACTGCAGCAGCTGTTGAGAGGTGAGGGTGGAGGCAGTCCCATGTTCCTTTGCAAAGGCAGGGTCAGTCTCCAGCACTCTGCTCTTCCTCAGGAAATCCAGCAGGTTTCCGTAGGGGGCGTATTCAATGGCGATGTACAGGTAGCCTAAAAAACAGACAGTGGTTATGTTAGGAAAACATGGAGTTTGATAATGCTGTGATTTTTACTTTCTGAACAAGAGCTGTGATGCATAGTGACCATGTTAGTGATTGTTTCTTTCAGTGATGAGGTTGAAGGTTCAATTTAGTTTTGTTTATCTTTAGAAAACATAACATCCACATAAAAACGTTGATGTTCACAAAAACGTTTGTGCGTTTGTGGTAGTAGCAAAGCAATCCTCATTTGAATTTGCCAATTAAGATATGCTAAGGTCATAAATATACAGTCCTTGGTTCAAGTACACTTTATTGTCCCCGTAGGGGATTTGTCCTCTGCATTTTACCTGTTGTGCTAGTTTTGGGCTGTACATTACAATCCATATTAATTCAATCGCTGAATCCATTACTAAAACCTATGTTAGTGTATGCTTTCCTATATGTTCTTTGGAAACTTGCTTCTTCCCCCCTGACACCTCTCCTTCAGTGTCTTAGTGAGGTCAAGGATTGGTTGGCCCACAACTTTTTATGTATTAATGAAGGCAAACTGAAGTCATTGTGTTTGACAATACCGACCCCGTCACTGACTTTGGCCCACTGAAACAGCATATAAAACCATCTGTCACCAACCTTGGTGTTACTATGGACAGTGATTTTAAATTTGACAAACAAGTAAATGCGGCTGTAAAATCTAGCTTTTATCATTTGCGGCTTTTATCTAAAATTAAACCTTTGTTATCTTTTAAATAATTTCAACAGCTCATGCATGCTTTTATTTCCTCTCGTTTAGACGCTCGCTTACAGTTGGTCCAGAATTCTGCTGTGCGCCTTTTAACTGGAGCAAAAAACGTGACGACATTACCCCAATTTTAGCGTCTTTGCACTGGCTTCCATTTCGTTTTAGAGTTGATTTTTAAAATTGTATTAGTTTGTTTTTAAAGCTTTGAATGGACTGGCCCCACAGTATGTCCCGGACCTCATCCAAATTTACACCCGCGTGTGCTCTGAGGTCTGAGGACCAGCCTAGTTCGTGGTGCCTAAAACGAGACTTAAAACCAGGGGGGGACTGGGCCTTCATTGTGGCCAGCCCCAAACTCTAGAACTCTCTAGAAACCTCTGGCTTTTAACATCACGTGAGTTGTGTGGTCCTCTGTGTCTTTTATTTATTTAACTATTTACTGCTATTTTATGATTTTTATGGTTTTTGCTTTTATTTGCTTTTAGTGGTTTTATTGTTTTAGGACTGGTATGGCCAAATTTTAGCATTTTATCCTTTTGTGGTCTTCATTTTATGATCTCTGTGCTTTGGAAACTGCTTTGTTTGTGAAATGTGCTATAGAAATAAAGTGGATTTGGATTTGGGAAATAGTGCTTCCACCCAAAGTAAAAAAATGTGTACTTCTAAAATGCTCTCAAAGGAGACATATTATGAAGAAAAAGACTTTTATTTCTGTTTTCACCTATTGTCTGCCATATCTCCACTCCCTGCTCTGTACTTCCTTGCAATTATTAGGGTCATTCATACATTTATGGTCTGCAGCTTTGAACAGGAGATCTTATTTATGCTTATTGCCATTATTGAACCAGCTTAGATCAATAATATGGTTTATGAGAATCAATATATAAAATAATGATCTACATACTGTATTGTTTATTCTAAATACTTGGGGAAAACAGGTCTTTTGGACTAAATGAAAGTGAGACGTGTGTACCCCTGAGCCAGCCTTGAAAAGATTGCTAAAATACTTCAGTTGTTTGTTAAAATATTTTTGTAAAAACATTGTCGTACTGTTAGACAATAAGAAAGTAAGTACGTTTGAAAATAAAAGAACAAATAGTAAACCAATCCAAGAATGATACACAAAGGTCTTCTGTGGTTTATTTAAAAAATATGGTTCTTCCTGAAAATCCTTTTTGTCTAAAGTCCAGCAAATGCAGCTTTGAACAGTACGTTTGATGTCATTTTGTATCTTTGTGTGCACTGATTTTGTAAAACCACACAAGTTTACAGAATAAAACAAAAACAGAGCCGAGACAGAGAATTAACTGAATGTTTATTTTAAGATCTATCTGGGTTTGTCATGTTTTCATTGTTGTAATTTCCCTAATTAAATCCAATCTCAGATGTCCCTAATCCCTGATCAAACAAAACCAACTTGATTAAAACAACGTAAAAACTGGAAATGTAATCCTCAGTGTTAACAGTTAGTGATGTGGAAACCTGATTTAAATTCAAGAAAACACGCCACTGCAGCAGGGACCAATCACACTACTAATACTGGCAGACAGGGACTATTTACACTGGACTTGTACAGGGGATCTCCAATTGCAGATCACAGCAAACGAGACGAGAGCAATAGTTCAGGATCACAAAATCTCCATAAACAAAGATGTAAGAAGCACTCTAATTCTATAATAGGGATATGGAAATATTAAAGGAGACATATTATGCCTTTTTTCTGTATTTAGTATCAAACTATAATAGGTAGACCAGAATTTTACTTTCATTGTACATTTTAAACCAAAATATGAATCGAAAACTGTTTAATAATAGAAGCATGTCTATTGACTTCCTGTACAAAACTGCAGGTCTTTGCCATCTCACAGTACCATTTCACCATAGCAAGCAACAAATTTGTATTTATATCTTTGTATTGTTGAAAAATGTCAAGTATGGACATAGCAGTGAGTGGACATAGGGGGTAGGTGAAAACAGACATTTTCTGAGTCTGTGAGGGCAGGAAAGTACACGGTTTCTCAAATATGCATTGCCACATCAAAACTGGGACTAAACCTGGAATTAAACCTGGACTACAACTACGACTGACAATTATGGCAAACCCAAGTCTACATCCGGACTAATCTGGGGTCAAACCAGGGCCAAACATGTGAACATATCCCTTTGTGACGTAAATAAAACAATGACCAACAGCTGCCAGCGGCCACTAGGTGTCTCCCTTACCTCTGTTCTCACAGGCTCCGATCAGGTTAATGATGTTGGGATGTTGCCCCAGTTTACAGAGCACCTCCAGCTCACCGGCAAAGTCTCTGTGGTCATTCTCCGTGGCGTACTCTGAGGAAAACCATCAGCACAAAACAATTCATTAAAGGAGGAGGAGAGCTACTGTGCCAACTCAACACTTCAGTTTTTTTTAAATGAAAAGATTTGATCGGCCGAGAAGCTGTGTGTTTACATCAGAACATGGGTGGAGAATATTTACATAAATGAATAAATATATGGTTTTGATATTTTGGATAAATATTATTTATGCAAGTCGTGGTTTCATAATTCATTTGGTTTTGCAGCTTTTGTAGTGTTAACAGTTCATACTACAGTAGATATTCTGAGTTTGAATGCAACAAAATGTGACTATCTGCCCATCCCTTCATCTTAATTTTACCTTTTAGCATCTTTATGGCAGCACTCATCTTGTTGCCGTCTTTCTTGATCATTGCTTTGATGACCTGGTTTAGAACTCATTATTAGTTACTATGTCAGGAACAAATTATAAGAAAATGTATTTACATGTATTATACTTAAGTTTTGTTTCATTCACACATGCTTAACACACAAACCCTGCATAATTAGTAAGTGCTCCTCTGTGTTCTTAAACTCCCGACACCCTTCACTTGAATCATTTGGATTATTTCAGACCTGGAAATGCCAATCTTTACTGAACAAAAAGTAAATTGGCTTTTAATTTGAAAACTGCCACTTCATGATAGCACACGGTGGAACAAAGCATTTTGAGCTTTGGCGCTGTAGACAGACTAACGATAAAGGGTTACTCAAACATTTGTGAATGAAACAAAACACAACTCTGGGTATGTTTTTGAGGAAGTAATAATATTCTAACATGATTTAAAGCTCACAAGAGTAAATTTTGTGTATTATAGGACCTTTAAATTGAAGTACGGACCTGTCCAAAGTTTCCCTCTCCTATGACGTCTTCAAACTTAATATCTTCCCACTCCAGGATGGGGTAGGTGAGGGGCTCTGGGGTGGGCTTTGGTCTTCGAGTAAGGGTCAGAGTTCCAGAGTTAAATTGCAGAATAGTTTCTTCGCCCTGTAACAAAATAAATAGGAGTTATTAGTAGTTATAATAAAGTTACTGAAAAGTTACAATGCCTCACTCAGAAGTAAGCACCATATTTGAGTCATCATATCTTAAAATGGTTCTTGCACAATCTCTTTTGATAAATATATTCATAAACACAGTCAACTCCCATGCCACTCAAAGTTCAAGTCAAGTCAAACTTTATTTCTATAGGACGATGCAAGTAAGTATCTTTAATAACTCAATATAGATACTAACCAAACCAAACAATTCTTTCATTTTGTGATTTACTGATTGTAGCTCAAGTTTTGACAACATTACATTTAGAAAAGAGTTCACTGGGATTATCCATCTTCAGGGTCATTGTGTTAATGGCATAAAGTTGTTTCAGTATCATCGCTTGCTGTGATCTGTATCAGTGTTGAAATATTTTTATGGTGACCAGTCAATAAATTAGCCATTTTGTGGACTTACTGATCCAGATTGGTAGGTGAAAGTGCGTCGTCGGTTGAGCAGAGTTTTGCGAATGAAAAACAGAGCCAGCAGCACCAGGAGAATGGTCACAAAGGTCACAGTAACTGAGCCCACGATGGCCATCAGGAGCTGGTACTTATCACCCAGAGGCTTCCCTGTGCTCACGCCCTGGGTGGTTGGGATCAGAATGTCCAGGCCTGTAGAAACAGCAAGACCGTGGATTACATCGAGAAAAATGGAAAATAAAATTATGAGATTATTATCAGCCATGAAAATAAAAGCGCTGCGATTTTAGGGAAAATAATAAAAACACTAGATATGTGGTTCTACTTCGCAGAATTCAGGGGACATTGAATCATTTGTCTCTATAGAGATGATTGCTTTACCCTGGAAAAACATACATTCTTTCTGCAAGAGGGCTAGCCTATGCACAGATCTGACCTGTACTTGGCCTAGTGGCATCACCAAACAGGTGGTGGACCCTTCACCAGAAAACTTACATACCAAATCCTTAATGAGATGTGTCTGTCTTTGGTTAATATGAGGAATCATAAAAGATACATTATATCAAAACTGGCTTGATTCACAACACCATAATCTTACCAAAGCGCCAAAGATACTGAGAAAGTTTTGAAAGGAGAGTCTTGCTCATGGACACGATGGCAGGAAAAAGGAATCGTATTTTTGAACAGTTCTTACCCTCTCCTTGAGTCTTAGCTTGGACAAACTTGCTCCACTCTCCTGGGACTTTGGAGAAGGCTCTGACTCTGAACTGGTACAGTGTGCTGCCGTTCAGTGCAGTCACATCTTTGGTGGTCTTGTTTCCATCGTCTGTGTCCACCCATGGGTGCGGGCTGCCCTGGCCCACTGGCTGATACTCAATCACATACTTGATGATGCCTCCGTTGGGGTCCTCAGGGGGCTGCCATTTCACCTGAACAGCTGACACAGACAGGGGCTGGGCTTGGACATTTTGTGGAGATGATGGGCCTGGGCACATAAGAAAAAAAAAAACAAAAAAAGTGTGGTTTAAACATTAAGAGAGAGTAAGTGCATCAAGCATCAGTTACTGTTGTGTAGTTCTAAGTAAATGGTTCTTATATTCACATTTTTCTCCCATTCTCTGAGCATGCTACATTCTGTCAGTTTATCTTAGGCACATGTTTCATACCAGATGTTCATGTATCAGATATTGGATCAGTACAACCAACACTGACAGTTTAAAATATTTGTGGGAAGGATTGGCAAATGAAACAAAAGAAAGTGAAACTGAGACCTTTTTTGTTTCTTGGCTTATCCTAGGCTTGAGTATAAGGAACAGTGTTTAAATAAAAAAAAAGATACTCTATGTAATCTGCTTGTCTCTATTGTGAGAGGTGATTGCTTTGTCTGGAATGTCTCACAGTATGTCATTAAACTTATCTGGAGATTCATGGAGACAAGCCTAATGCCAGCAGACCACGTTACAGATCAGATCTATAGAGAGCAAGCCCATATACAGTAAGAATGCATGTTTTTCAAGATATTTTAGAGCAATAAAAACACCTGTAACAGTAATGGTTTTCCTCTACATTAGTCTTGAGTACGCTTATGTGCAAAAGATAATAGATAGTATTTACCATATTTTTAATCAAGTATTATCATTTGCAGTTATACACATATGCAGTTATACATATTTAGCGTAATTGATGTATTTACCCTGGCTGAAGAGTCTGAAGTGGTACGGCTTGGAGGGGGGTCCCTGACTGCTGCAGTTAATGAGGCGGACCACCACGCTGTAGTCCTGCTGGTAGCGCAGGTTGTAGAACTTGGTGGAGAGCACATTTAACAGAGTGGTCTCCTCCTGAAGTTTGACGCTGTCGGGCGGAGGGCCAAACAGCTGCACTAAGAAACCACTAGCCATCGCCGCGGTGATGCCAGTGTTGCCAGGGAGACGCCAGTGCACAGTGACGTTACGACCCTCCACTACGCTGGTGTCAATCTCAGGCTGCACTGTGGGCTCTGTGGCAATGGAAAACAGGGTCAGCTCACATGTAGTACACCTGTATGATAAGTTATGTATGTAAGTTTTTATGTGTATTTAGATTACGCACTATGACCTTTGACCTAAGACACTGTACAAGTATAAAACATACGCCTTTCCATTTGTACCACAACAGCTTTATTCTTTATTTTAGATCCCTGTTAACCAATAACCATTTTTCCTAAGTCCATTGGCTTTTTATCTCAACATTTCTGGTGCTCTAAGCCTTTATAATGTTCTCTCTACTAAAGTGGTTCTCAAAAATGTAGTACCTGAGCTTGTTCTGGTGGTACGCAGACTTCAGTTGTAGCGTATTTTCCTGTTTTAGACACAGTTATGCTCAGAATGCCATATTTTCTTAGTGGCTACTTGATGTGAACCATTGGTCTAAAGCATCTTGCATGAATTAATGTGTAAAAAACAACCAAAAAAACTACTGCTAGACAAAAAAGTAAAATTTTTCACGAAGATTAATAATAATTCAACTATGATTAAAAATTCTGTATTTAGTAATTGTGTATAGTATGTGTAATTGTATATATAGGCTCTATTCACGTTTATGTCAGAAACCTCGGGTAAAGTTACCAACACAACTTGCCTAAATATCATCAGCAGTTAAATGAAGACTGCATATGTATGAGCTGTTTGGAATAATCTTGAATTTGGCGCCCTCATCTCTTCTAATTGCATGTACCCAGTGCGCTCAGAGTTGTGTGTCAGTGGAGGAATTATGAAAACGATGGTTGTAATTGTTGATTAGCTGAACATAACGGAAAGCTACAATGACATGTAGATGAAGAAAACTGGGCCAGTTTCTCATTTATCCTAGATTTTCTCAGATTTACTACCGCGAACAGAGCCTGCTGGAAGTTGTCATCACATCTTTTCAAATGTCTTCCTGATTTGTGACATAAGCGTGAATAGAGCCTATTATGTGTTGTGTTTACCAGGACAGTCGGTCTCCATGATGGCCTCCGGACCCAGAGCCCCCTCCCCTCCCTCTCCAGGCCGACTCAGCTGCACACGCACACGGTACGGCGTGGTGGGCTTCAGGTTCATCAGGTTGATCGGCTCTTTGTCACTATACACTGCACAGACATAATACATGAAAATATTACAATGTTAATCTGTACCATCTAGTAATGGGTATTGGTAGTGAAAACGTTTTATTACGAAATGAAAATATGCAGCTATAAAACACATTGGGAATAAAAGGGATCTCTCATGACTGGATATTTGTGGTTGTGGCAGCATGATTCATTGAACTGGTTTCTTCTTAGACAGTTTTAAACTCAGTTTTCACTCAAAACTTCTGCTATTGCTTATACGAGGAATATCATTTCTAGCCACATTGTTTTGTTGCTGTTGAGTAACGAAGCAGTAGTAATTAAGCAACTGGAGTTTTTTAAGTTGCACATTGTTTTAAGATGACATAAACTGTAAAACACACACTAAATTAGACTGTTAACTGTTTACATCACAGTAACTACCTACATTTTACCCCAGACTCTCAGATTTTAGCATTTCAATGACTACTTACTTATGCTTATCTTATGAAGTACATAGCTATCAATGAGTATTTTGTAAGAATGTGCCGATACTAGCACCGATCCAGGAAGACTTGTTATATCAGATATCGGGTCTATGACATGTAATCAATCAATATACTGGTTGGGCCTTTAATTGAATGTAATACGACTATTTACTGACTGATGTTGGCCCAGAACATCTCATAATGTTTGAACTTTTATTCATACAAAGTTGTCTAGTAGGTATTTGTAAGATAAATAACAGTTATATAACTCCACTGGGTCCATTTTATTTAAATATGCATTGAGTAACTTTTTGCTTGGGAGTCTGTCACTGGCTTGGATGTAACTGCTCTGCCTGGAATGTTCCACAGTATGACATTAAGCAAAGGATGGTTTTGTTGCTCAGATATACCTAGAAAAACAGCCATTCTGACTGTGAGCGGGATTGCCTCTCTGCATATCTGACCTGTAACTTGGTCTGATTTGGTCTCCGTGAAGATAGAAATGTTTAATGCCATACTGTGAAACATTTCAAACTGAGCAATAGCATCTTCGAGAAAAGCATTTGACGGAAACTTCCACCAGAAAAGTTTCACAGTGCACTTTTAACTGTTAACTGTATTTTGAGGGGAATAAAAAATGAGTCCCACATGCTCTGTAAATACAAGCTCTTCCAAACAGTCCATTTCTTACCTATAATTGAGGACCAGGAGTCTCCGTTCTCCACAGGTTTGTACAGAAGTCTAATAGACACAATGGGGCCATCTCCTCTGTACGAGTCTACAGGCATCACCAGCAGCTGCTTACTCCACCTCTTCAGCAGTTTGGGAGCTGTTATGGCCACTGGGGGCTCTGTGCAGCAGAGAAAACCAATCAGTGTTTAAGGGCAGGCACTGGAGGTGAAGAGGAAAATCATTTACTGTTTTCCTGTAAGGCACTTGTGTAAAAATGGTTGAAAATGGAAATATTTATTACTGAATAAATTATAGACACAGATTTTAATTTATTCATGGGTTTAGGCTTCTTGTTATATGCAATACTTTGAGGATGCTTCCCCATTCTAAAAACATTAGAATTTGTTATATTTATAAATCGTTAATTGCTATGGAAACAGTCCAAATTTGCAATCACTCTGAAACCGTTTGGGTTATTTTGTTCACATCCAGCTACAGAAAATATTCAGAGGTAATAAATGGTAGATAACACTGGAAGAATACTTTTTGGTTAAAATGTACTAAAATAAATCAAAGAATTAGTCATCAACAGACCAGTATCAGATCAGTAGAAAGCTAAATATTAAAAAAGTAAAGTATAAGACTGGTACTTTAAGTGGATAACTCTGTTTGAAATGCATATATGCAGAAAATGGCATATGAAGTTACAATTTCCTTTAGATGTAAGATATCCAACGTCAAGCGCAAACTGACCCAAAAGCTTAAAAACGATAGCGCCTCGCCTTAATCAATAAAAAAAAAAGTTTTAAAGTCCTATATTACGCAAAACGGACTCCTGTGAGCTTTAAGCCTTGTTGCCAATGCTGATATCTCATCAAAAACAAACTAGACTTGTGTTTTGTTTCATTCACACATGATTGAGTAACCCTTTATTGTGTTTTCGGCTTGAGAGAAGAACTCAGTCTAAATATCCAGAGTTTGTGTGTTAAATGTGTGAATGAAACAAAACACAACTCCAGGGATGTTTCTGATGAGGAAACAACATTACAACAGAGATATGAAAATAGCTTAATATGGGAAACATACTGTATTTCCGTATTTGACAGTGTACCTTTGATAGTGAGATTGAACTTGCGTGAGTCATGTCCTCCTTTAGTGGACACTCTGCACTCCCATTGTCCGGCCTGGTCCGCTTTCACACGGGGGATCTCGAACATGGCTATGCTCTTCTTTGAGTCCTGAATGGTGTGATTAGCCTGGAAAGCATTACAAAAATACATTTAAATCAACTTGGAATTGTGTATTTGCAACTTGATTTTGAGATGTGTTAAATTAGCAAGGAAATAGCAGAGAAAGAAGGACAAAAGGAAAGTCAGTATCCCACTTAAATGAACAGGCTCTCTGCAGACTGATATGGCCTTATCTACTCAGACCATTGTGCTGTCGACTTCCTCTGAACTTGATTAACACTGGAGTCAAGTTAGTTTTAAAGACACAGAAACTCCACTTGGATGAAAGGCAAAATATAATTACATTTTCTTATGCTATGCTTTAAATCTAGTTACACTTTTTGGATTGTAAAAGAGTTATTGCTGCCTGTATTTTGGAGAAAATACTTGATATGGTCCATACCTTGATCTGTATGCTGTCTAGTTTGCGGAGCTCAAAGCTGTCGTGGATGGGCAGAGGGTTCCCTGTGGCCGTGCACTTTACCTTTGGGCTGGAGTTCAGATTCCACTCTAAATTAGTATTTAAGTCCAAGATTTGTGGAACTCGATCTGAAAAGAGAAGATTTATGAAGCAAAGTGAGTGAGTGGAGAGAGGGCTGACACTTGTTTGTCTCAATGGAGATGCTATTGCTTTGTCAGGAATGTTTCACAGTGTGGCATTAAATGTATTTATCTGGTATTCATTTCACTACAGGTGTTTTGATGGCTAAAATAAACACCATGAAAAATATGCACGGTTACTATGAGGTTGCCTCTCCACAGAACTGATCTGTAACTTGTCCCGAAGACATCACCTATTTATGGAGATAAATTAGTTTTATCCCATACAGTGAAGATTCCAGGGAAAGCAAAAACATCTCCATGGACACAAACAAATAACAGACCCTCTACCAGAAAAGTTGTGTACATAGCGTGCATTAATACAATTGCTTTCAGTAAGGTACTCACCAGATTTGTCACAGTGCTCACCCCTCCAGCCTAACGGACACTGGCATCCACCAAAGCGATGACAGACTCCTCCATTCTGACACCTGCAGTGCAGCTTACAGTCGGGGCCATACATATCACTGTGACAGGCTAACAATAACAAAACATTTGGTTTACATTCAGTTCCTGTTTTCTGTGTACTGTGAGGACAGATCGGAGTGATTGTTGCCTTACCCTGCTCACAGTGTTTCCCAAACCATCCACTAGCACAGGAGCAGCCGTACGGATCAGGAAGGCAGAAGCGCAGCCCTTTACAGTTGTGGTCGGATCCGCAGGACTCTTGGCAGTTCTGACCAAACATTCCTTCTCTGCAGGCTGGGATCAATAATACAAAGGAAAACTTACACATCTGTTTGTTTCAGTGATTTGACGTGTCATGGTTCCAAATGCCACAGAAATGCCAGAGGCAAATATTACTCAAATCTTAAATAAAAAACAAACCTATTTCACAATGCATCCCCATGAAGCCTGGAGGGCAGATGCAGTCTCCATCGGCATCGTGACACACTCCACCGTTCAGACACTCGGGGCACTGCCGGTCACAGTACGACCCCCACTTGTCTTTGGGGCAGTCTGAAAGAATATATTATGTTAAAGATGCAATGTGTAACTTTTCTGGTTTGGAAGACACCATTTGCTTGTCTCCATGGAGATGCAAAGTAAGCAAGTAGGACGCATACAGTATTTGCAAGTTTTTGTGGACAATTAAACACCTGTAATGAATACATGCAAAACAAATAAGTAACTGAGGAACATAAAGGTGCACTATGTAACTTTTTGGGGTCTTTCACCTGATTGTTTCTTTGGATATGTAATTCCTTTGCCCACAGTATGACATTAAGCAGCTCTACCTTACATTTATTCAATTACTGTTGGTTTTATAGCTCAAAAATGCCTAGAAAAAAAGGCATTTGAATGTGGGTCGCCCCACCACACATCTCAGGTCTCTGTAACTTGGTTTGGTTTGGTCTCCATGACGATAGAAAGGTTTAATACCACACTGTGAAACTTTCCAGATAAAACAATAACATCTCCATGAAGGAAAGAATCTGATGGACCCTCCTCCAGAAAAGTTACACAACACACCTTTAAAGCAAATCAACAACATCTCCATGGAGACAAGCAAATGGCAGACCCCTTACCAGAAAAATTACATTATGCACTTCTAAATAAAGCATTACATTGAAGTGAATGCTCTACTGACTAACCTCTGACAATGAGCCTCATCCAAGCTCCATTCACTGGACTGTCCCCCACAAAGCTGGCACTGTAGATGCCCTGGTTGGCAAAAGTGGCATTTTCCACATTGAGGACAGCAGTGCTATTGATCACCTCGTTTGAGTGAGTCATGTAGTAGTAATTTCCTGGATCCGGAAAGCAAAAGAACTGCAAGATTATACATATTTTGGTTGTTTGAACGTATAAATATAAAGTACTTACCATTGTATTTCCACGTTACATCTCTCTTCTGTGTACTGAGCAGCTGCATGCTTATGTTGGCTGTTTCTCCTTTGTTTATTGTCAAGGTGAGTTGAGCGGGAAGAAAGCTGGCTGTGGTAACCAAAGAGAAAGAGAATTGGCAAAACAAACTCACAGCACATGGCCCAAGATTGAACAAATATAGCATCGCCTATACTCGGGTTTGTCACTGTCCTCACATAATTTCATCTTTGTATGAATGCGATTGCAACACACTCTCCATAGAAAATAAATTCTGGAACAGGACACGCTCTTGAGTTTCATAACATGACTTGCAGTTGAAATGTTCCTGAAAATGTAATAACAAAACCGTGCCGCCTGATGCCTTAATGTTCAATATGGAAGACTGGAAGACTGTCTTTCTCTCCTCACACACTCAAGAAAATCACAACCTACACCTTTTCCTCTCAACCAATCAAATCTCAAGTTTCAATGTTTCTTTATTAGTACCTAGCATCGACATTAATAGAGATTTAGGGGCATGGGTCCAAGAAGGGGCTTTAATTCTGGGGCTCTAAATCCCTGGGACCCAGGACAACAGACCCCTCTGTCCTCCCCGTCTACTGCCCTGGTACCTAGGCCTGTCACGACAACAAAATTGAAGTGTGATATATTGCTGAAGTAAATATAGAAGACAAACGATAATATTGACTCCATATAGCAAAATTATTCCACTAAAAGTATTGTAAATGTACAGTATTGTTAAAAAATATGAGGTGCAATAAATAAGTGACAATGCAACACTTAAGTAGTTAGTTAGTATCTATAATGAAGATAGAAGTTCTCTACGGCTCAAATCTCATGATAGAACAGAAAAATATATATCCACAAATATAGCCATGATAAATACTGACGGCAAAATGATTGTTACATCTCTCTTATATTGAACAATAAGTCCATATATTTATCATGACAGGCCTATTAGTACCTGCAGATATATTTGTTTGCAGATGGGATCACAGCTGCCTAATAACATTAAAATTAAGACAGCACATGGCATAAATTACTCAGATACATGGGACACTTGCTTCAGCCTCCCATAGTCAGTTTACCACAGTCCTATAGCCTCTGGTGATGCTTAATAGTGAGACTCGTACTTGGATACCTCCCCTGTTCAGTGATTCGTTTAAGGGATCAACAGTGACAGGAAGAATACCTTGAAAATGAATTTACCGGTAGTTACAGAATACTAAATACCTGCATTAAAATGTATTTTGTAATGTATTCCGATTGCATTTATGTATCGCTGGTCAGAGAAGGAAAATCATCTTTGCATGCACCACCAATGCAGTGTACCACTAATCCAGTTAATCAAAATTAGTACATACATACAAAATACATATTCTCTCTACATGTATTCAGTTACTTCCCAACAATGGGGACCACAAAATGTCAGCCAGAGTGATGAAGCTGGAACTCCCAGTGTGCTCTGACACATTGAGCTGTCATACAGTCTTGCCTACTTGCCCACTTTGCCACCTTCTGGAGTTTACCAAATCTAACTGACCCACAAGAGAAATTACTCCTCAACTACCCCTACTGCAGCAGAACAAGAATCACCCTCTTAAGCCACTCAGTCTCCTTCTATTCACAACCATCTTTAAGTTATCTTGTCTAACACTTTTTGCCAAAGTTTTAAAAAATGTTTTGTACCTGATTGTACCTGACTAGTCTCTACTCTATTCTAATCTAATCTAATCACCAGTTTTGATCCTGATTTATTAGCTAGATGATATTTGATGTAGAGCAGTAACTGTCGACACTAACCACCGTTGGAGTTGTTGATCATGGTCACTTTCTCCGGTAGCTTTCCCTCATGCGCGGATTCACAGTAGAAGATCCCGATATTCTCCCACTCCTTAAAGTCCCGGGCCACCACCTCCTTGTGCCTCGGCCTCACCACGATGAACGTCTTGTGGGGGACCTGGATGATGTGATTGGCCTTGTGGATGTCCAGTGCACCGTGCACCTGGCTGCGCTCTCCGTTGATACAGGACATGGAGAAGTGAGAGATGCCCGTGACCTCTGCTGTAGCGGTCATGGTCAGGTCAAGGACAGCATCTGTGGGACAGGAAGATTGGAATATGATGAACAAAAATATTTAAAGGTCCTATATTGTCCTATATCCTATATATACACAAAAATGTTCACAAAATGTTCTCTTGTGAGCTTCAAGCCATGTTATAATGTTGTTAACTCATCAAAAACATACCTGGAGTTGTTTTTTGTTTCATTCATGTATGTTCTCTGCTTAAAATTCTCTGTTCCACTTCGCGATATCATTGATATCAAGTGGTAGTTTTCAAGGTAAGAGCTACCTTTTACCTTTAGTTCAAAATGTGTGAATGAAGCAAAACATAACACCAGGTTTGTGATGAGGAAACAGCATTATGACAGATGTAATATGGGCCCTTTAAAGGTGGACTACGTAACTTTTTTGGAGGGCCTGCTACTTGCTTGTTGGTATATGTTGTTGGATTCATAAAAGGTATACGGCCAGGGGTTTCCAACCTATAGCTCGCGAGCAACCAGTAGCTCTCCACCCCATTCCAAGTAGTTCACCAAGGGATTTTGGAATTATACGATTGTGCTGAATAACAAAAATTTGATTAATTAAAGGCCCATTACCATTTGTGCACTAATAAATGGACAATGATTTATGTTTTATAAGTGTCTAACTGTCCCCTAAGGCTTGCCCTCTTTCTTATAATTGTCTCGATTTGTTGTGGTCACTAAAACGAGTAGCTCTCTGGCATTTTTGTTTTCTAAAAGTAGCTCACCAGAGAAAAAAGGTTGGAGACCCCTGGTATACGCACATCACTGGTACAAAGCTGCTACAGTGAACATAGAAAGTTAGACAAAGCCTGCACACTTACTCCAAACTGCATTTAATGAATGAAGAAGAACCACTGATTGAAACGTTGTCATTCATTAAATGCAGTTTGGGAGTAAGTGTGCAGGCAGTGTCTCACTTTATATGTTATTGGGTTGCCTGTAAAACTCCACAGTATGGCATTAAACTTCAAATCCCCAATAGAGACAAGTAATACCAGGCCACGTTACAGGTTGGAGAGGTGACCCTACTCACAATAAGAATGGAAGAATAGTTGCAGTATAATAAAAGAATAAATGTAAGATAGAAGTTTAATGCCATACTATGAAACATGTCAAGCAGAATCCCCACCAAAATACTGCAATGCATATTTCTGACAAGCGCTACTGCAAACACAACTATTGTACTAAAACGTGTGTACTTCTTCATCTTTTTTTTCACTTTTACTATAATTACACACTGTTATAAAAGAAAATAAATAAAACAAGAACAATTTCTTAAAAAAATAAAATACAGCCTATTTACAGTGACGACCCCTGACAACGTGTTTAGCCCTGAACATGTGCTGTATTTGGCAAAAACATCACGTTTGAACTTTGAACAGGCAATCTGCTGCTTCAAAGCTGACATTGGACTTGGACTGCCTGTTTCATATAGAAATAAACTTGTATTCGCTGCAGGTGGACTGGACCCCTGCCACGCTCAATAAACACAATCAGACTCGTCCTTGAGTAATAGTTTTATGACGTGACGTGAACCTGGGAATGTAATGCAGTTTCATTCCTCCTGTCACGACCATAACACATACTTGGCACGTGTCTGTATGTCAATAATGCTACTTAGACGCCTATGGATTTGTCCTTAGAACACAATCTCAGACCAAAGAAAAAGCTGAGTACGCCAAACTAATATCGTGAGTGGGTAGCAGAATCCCCTGTCCTGTTATTTAGCCTCTGATCCGCGGAACAATGGCAGGAAGCGTGGATGAGCTCCTGTTCCCAAAGGGCGCAGACGGCTACACTGGAGGTCGTGAGGACTTGAAAACATCACAAGCGTACACTGGTCTACATTTAAGAGTGAGCATGTAAACTACACACACTTTCAAGGTTTAGGCAAAAACTTGAGAAATAAAACATAAACAAAATAAATTAGCCTACCTAAAAAAAAGAAGAACAGAATAAAAGAAATAACGATAAGACACATAATGTAAAATCTGTTGAGCTAACATGAGCTTTTACCTGTCAACTCCACAAAGCACAGTAAAGTCAGCCACAACATCCTCATGAACCCCATAATCCACTTTGATTCTTAAAAAAAAAAAAAAAAAAAAAGAAAGAAAGAAAAAAAGAAAAACAGTGATAATCCAGACTGAGTGTGAATCAACGTGGTGACAGCATCCAGAACGGCGACGCAGCGCCACGACTAGTGACGCGCTTTTTGGCGCATAACTTCGCTTTTCCAAAGTCCGGTTACAGAGAGTTAAGTTTGTCCAAAAAGTCCAACGATGTCGCGGTGAGAGTTGTTCTCCAGAGCCTTGAGAGTAACGGCAGCGCTGGGCTAAAGGTAAAGCTTGGCTCTATCTGGGTGGGAAAGGAAGGAAGAGCGTCAGTGGAGCAGACTGCTGGCGCTCCACACCTCCTCCAGAAATTACGGAGTTATGGATTTTATGAGCTTCAACTCTGCCCATCAGATGGGCCATCTCCTTATTAATATACGCCTGTTGAATCAATATTACGAATATTGTCTTTGATAATCACATTACAGTCCATTGAAATAATATGGCAATGCCAAGTTGATGAAGTGGTAAATCCCTTTTTATTTTATTTTTTATTTTTTAATGTTGGCTATGTTTTAATTAGACTTCATAGCTTATTGCTCTGAGCTTTGGACCTTCATGTATTCCATTGTTTTGAAGATAGACCTCTGTTTAATCAGAACCATGTCATGACTTTCCAAAGACAACAGTTTGTTCTTCCACTTGAATGTATTGGTCACAACAGTCCAGCTCCTTCTGGAGTGGGCTGCTAATCACTGGACTTCAGGAAATGATGGACAATATGATGTTGTGTCTATTCTCATAATCTTTTATAAGTGCTCTATCATCTCTCATTCAGTGAAGAACGCCCTGGGCTTTATTTGATGCATTTCTCCGTGTCTGGACACAATCGACTTGGAGTTGACTCAACTCCTTATTGTTTAAGATTTCCTGTTTTCCTTTTCAGAACATCTCATGCTTTTTCAGCCTACAAGGGAAAACAATGGAAAGTAAGGCAAAACCTCCACAGTAGTAGTAAATAACCAAGTCTTGATAAGAATTATTTGAACATTGCATAATTTTATGTGAGAAGATATTTTATTTAAGTGAATATAAATTTAAATATTTCTTAATAAATAAAAGTATATTTTAACTTTAGCTGCAAACTCTGTCAATTACATCATAGTAGGCTGTAGCTGAAGACATAGTAGCCATGCAATTTACAGCACAACATCAACAAATAACTATATAAGGGCAATGAAATCAAAAACCACCACAGATACATTTTTGAGGGTTGCCCCAGCAAATCATGACCCTCCCCTAAGTCAGGGCAAAATAAAAATGCCTACATTTCTGTGCACACAATAAATCTGAGCTTCATGTCATGTTAATACCCACACCATTATATATTTACATCCCTGTACTCCTGTGTGTTCAAAATAATATAGAAATACAATATGCTACATGTTCACATGTTATGTCTACCAAAATATGTTTTCACTCGACTTATTTTAAACAAAAGACTCCTAGCTTTCTCATACACTGCAAAAACTAAATCTAGCCATGTTACGATGAACTTCTTTGGTTCTTTTTAAAGACAATACAGTAAAGTGTATTTACCCAAGAAGTTAAAGGACATAAGAAAACAAAATGAACATCTTTGGCATGTTAAAATGACTTGAATCAAGAAAGTTTTATCATGATTTGAGTAAATTTTACTTGACATGTAAAATCTACCAGTGGAACAATACTTTCTATACTTAATACATCTCGCTATGCTTAAGATAAGAAAAACAACAACTCTTTGCACTTAAAATAAGAAACAAAATCCCATATTGCCTAAATTAAGAAAACAACACTTATTCCATTGGTAGATCATTTTACTCGTCAAGTTAAATCTACTCAAATTAACTGAAATGTTCTTATTTTAAGTCATTTTAACTTACCTAGATATTGTTTTTTTGCAGTGTATCTGTGCTCTGCTGTCAAATCCTACATCAACGTCCATTACCATTACACCATGCACACTTCACAAACACCTAATCAACTCTCCGATTTTCCATTGTCACTTGATGCTCAAGTTTTAAACAGTTTGTTGGAACCAGCTCAAGAGATGACTGGAAAATGCATCAATAAACACCACTCAGACAGGCTTTTTTCTAATAATTGAAAGTTCTGTTGTAATGTTGATACAGTGAAAGCCACAGGGAGGGTCCAGAGATGCTATTGTCTGTGTCTGAAGCAGCCAGGAGCCAGAGCAGCATGCCAACAAGAGAGGCTGAGTTTAAAAGGCCCATATTACGGTATTTTCTGATCTATATTATAATGTTGTTTCCTCATCACAAACATACCTGGAGTTGTGTTTTGTTTCCTTCACACATGTTCTACACTCAAACCCTGCATATTTAGGCTGAGTTCATCGCTCAAACTGAAAATGCTCTGTTCTAGGAAGTGCTCCACTCTGTTTTTAAACTCCATACACCTACAGTAGAATCATTTAGATAGTTTCAGCGCTGGAATTGCCAATCTCTACTGAATAAAAGGTAAAAGGTTGCTGTTAACTTGAAAACAAACTACCTCTTCATGACATCGTAAGGTGGAACAGAGCATTTTGAGCTTTGGAGATGTAGACTAATCTAGACTAATCTAGACTAATAATAAACGATTACTCAAACGTGTGAATGAAACAAAACACATTTCCAGGTATGTTTTTGATGAAGAAACTAACATTATAACATAACTTCTCAGGAGAGTAAATTTTGCATAATATAGGAACTTTAAGTCTTGTACAGCAGCAGTGCAGTGGAGTGGTGTAGAGGAAGTGTCTGCCATAGCCTGCAGAGTGAGGGTGGAGGTCTTAATGTGCTTGTCAGACATAAACCATTGTGTCCATTAGTCTTTGTTGTCGTACAGTCATTACCACTGTGCACTGTGTTCCTTCTGAGACTGAGACTGCCCGCCGCCTCCTTTAAAGTATATTGGCATGCAACTGTGAAACGGCACCCTGGCCAGTGCATTTAGAGGAATCGTATAACAGAATGACATATAGAAGTATTGATTGATGTGCAGTGTCTGTCTCTCAGGCTTGCGTAATGTTTGTCTGTATGTCAGCAAGGATCAGGCATCATCCTAATGTGGTAGAATATGAACTGTTCTGATTATATTTTATTGCTTTGCATGGAATATTCCGCAATGCCATTAAACTTAAAGGTGCACTGTGTAACTTTTGCATTCGAGGGTCTACCACCTGTTTCTCTCTATGAAAATATTCTTGTTTTGTCTGGAATGCTTCTGTATGGCATTCAAGGGACAGTCTGGAATTTTGGACATAGGACCTCATTTCCTAGTTAGCCAGAGTGTTGGAGACATTTTTTAAATATTCCATCAGTATTTGCAGAGGTCGCTGGTGCTTGGCTAGTGCATGTCAATGGCCATAGTTAGCCTGCCACTAAACACAGTCTTACCCACTCCACAAAACACCCGAAGCAAATCTATTATTACAACAGACTGTCGATGGAAATGTCTGTGTTGATAGAATAATGTAATGCAACTAATCTTGCATCACATGAACTGTTACGTGTTGAGGGACTATTTTCTCAGCAGCAGCGGAATTTTACTTTGTCGGTAAGATAGGTGCTAGGTGATATCAGTCCGCCGCTGCCAAGCTTTCTATCAGAATGTACAAGTCACTGCTGCTGCTCAGACATAAATTCTTCAAATGCAAGGTTGTTTTTACTTCTAAAATTATTCTATCGACACAAAACATTCACATCGACAGTCTGGTGTAATAATAGATTTGCTTTGGGTGTTTTGTAGAGTGGGTAGGACTGTTTTTAGTGGCAGGCTAACTATGGCCATTGACATGCACTAGCCTAGCATCAGCGACCTCTGCAAATACAAGGACTGGATGGAATATTTTAAAAAGTGTCTCCACATGTCTCCAACACTCTGGCTCACTAGGAAATGAGGCCCTATGTCCAAAATTCCGGGCTGTCCCTTTAAACAAATTCATCTTGCATTTACTCAAGAACATGTGTTTTTACTGACCTTAAAACTTGCTTTCTTGCTATGTGTGGGCTCACCTCTTTACTGTTCTTACGTGGAACTTGGCCCTTGGTATCACCTGCTGTTTCCATATGGATAAATAAGTGTAATGCTATACTGTAGAACATTTTCAGGCAATATCTTTTTATGGAGGCAATTTTGTGAGGCCATCAAATCAACTTAGATAAGATCTGGGGAGAGGCAAGCCCGCTTATAGTAAGAATGCCTGTTTTTTCAGCTATTAAAAACACCCTTGTTGAAATAAATGCAATATAACTTTATGGCCTTACTCAGAAACACACCAGGCAAAGCAAAAACCTCTTCATGAAGACAAGCAGATGTGCATGTTCCACTTTAACCTAACCCAGAAGTTACATAGATCACCTTTAATAATGCCTGAGTCCAGACTGGCTTAATTTGATTTGTTCAGACATATACTCCTATTATAAATTCTCTGCCGGCTACACAACTAAAATGTATATAGTAAAGAATACATTAAATATGTCTACAACTGAAACGTAAAACAATACATAGTGTTTTTGCAATATGTAAATTTACAACCCAGCTTATCAATACGTGTTAAAGTATGAATCTAAATCATTATTATCCACCATAACATGCTTTTAGTTATTGCACATTAATCACACTTTGAGGCATATCTTTAACATTCATATTTTTATGCCTAAACAATACTCCATGATTTAAAAGGCACTCATAATTTAACTCTTTGAGAATACACAATCTGGGACCCAACCATGTCCAGAGCTGGGCCAGTGTTAGTTTAAGGAAATGCCATGTAAATCGTGTCAAGTGGTGCATGGACCTCGGCGTGCTCCTGGATATGTTTTAGTGGTTTTTGACATTTTGTTGTGGTTTTGGCGGAGGAGGTGCCGATGACCACCCCGAGCTAATGCAGAAGTGAGACAAGACGAAGGGATGGCGGTGGTGGGGGGAGGACTGGGAGACTTTGTGAGAAAGTTTGTATTAAATTCCCATTTCCTCTCATTGTGTAGTGCAGGACTTGCTCGGCTCCACATGCGCCGATCCTGCTGGGTCCTGCATGTTCCAAGTACAAGTAGGGCTGTCAGTCAAACCTCTGTAGCTTTGAAACCAATCTCATATACACAATTCTACTGCGCAGTCTGACCTTTGTCTAACCCGCTTTTTAATAATCAGGCAATTTCAAATCATGGAAGGTATTAAAATGTGTAATAAAAACAGTGTGTGAAAGCAGCCATCAGCAGGTACCAAGAGTGACTACAATGATGAATGATTGTATCAGCATCTTAGAAGGAGGCATTTTAAAAGCCCTTCTCGCAAAGTCGGATTTCCTGTCTGATAAAGTGAGCCAATATTATTTCAAATAAGTCCCCAAGTGGCCAAATGGGAAAAAGTGAATTTCAAATGTGTTAATCTTGCCAGTCTGTTTTGAAAACGTGCACAATATGTCATGTGGTATTGGATATAAACTAGGTTACAATGATCTGCTTGCCAGTCTCCTCTCATCTTTGTTGGGTGTCAGCTTATAGGTTCTATCTGGTCCCTGTCTAAAATTGGCCCTTGAATCGGACCATAGATCTTGAAAATCCTCAGTCAAAACTTGAGATGATCCAACCACAGCTGCTAATGTATATCATGTGTCTCTGAAATGCAGAAAACGTTTCCTCTCAAAAATTCTCATAACTTTCCGAACACAATATATAACTTCTTTACCTGAGACTTACTTAACCTGAGATAAGTAGTAGTTTGGTGATTCAATTGTGTCCCAGTCCGTTATGTTGTTTTTTTCTCTTTTTTACATGAAAGCAGCCATCTTTTAGCCATGCTGGAGTCACCTAGTGTCTCCGCTTAATTTCATTTTTCTTCAACGACTAGGTCAGGAATCAAAATACACTAGACGTTTTGCAAGAACCCCGGAAGTTGTAGACTGCGCACCGGCCAATCAGTTAAGAGCTGTGTGGTATGGCACAACAGTAAACAAAGCGGCCGAGATGGATGTAGATGAAGCCATACATTCTGTTTTTGCAACGATTCCCGAGATCAAGGATTTAAAGCCGGAGCAAAGAGAATGTTTAGTGAATTTTATCAAGGGGAAAGACGTTATTGCCCTTCTTCCTACAGGATTTGGGAAGAGTTTAATATACCAGTTAGCCCCTGTTAGCGGTGCATTACATACGTCACGACCAAATAGCAGTGAATGGTTAAATAAAAAACCCACCTACGAACGAATCCTAATGTTTCCACAAAGTAAAACCGGATGATGAATCAGGCTAGCATCTTAGTTTTTAACCTGAACAGAGCAGGTTGGTCTCTGATTGGTTAATCCTCCTGTCAATCACGCATCAGGGAGATAGGATATGGCTCTAGATCCACTTGTCTTTGTAAAGTTTTGTCAAAGTGTGTAGTTCTGGCTGGCCAGGTAATTCTAAGATAATGCATGTGTTTGGAGAATTGGTGACAGATTGTTCTCAGTAGAAGTAGAATTGCTTGGGTTTCCGGTCATCTGGAATAATAAAATTTTTTGGAGAAGCTACAATGATGGACACCAACCACCTGCAACTCCATAAGAAAAAAAACAAATATGAAATGATCTTTTTTCTGTAACATACTGAAAGATGTAGATATTTCATTGCCAGGACGGAAATACATAATGCAGTGAAAAGATGAAGAAACTGTCAATATTAATACATGTAGTTTTTCACCAGAAAATCTAAAATCACTGCATGATCTTTGTCGTATTATGCATGCTCACTGTCTGCATAATAAACAATTGAAAATATCAAAAACCCAAAAGAAAGAGCCTTAAGCACTTCTGGCATTGCATTAAACTGATCTCCGTGGAGAAGCAGATGACGGCCCTCGATCAAGTTACAGGTCAGATATGAGAAGAAACAACCTCGCTTACAGTAGGAATGCAGTATATTTTGAAGAACAATACACTTGTAATTGATCAAATGCAAGACAGATAACTTTAATGCCCTACTGTGAAACCTCCAAGCCAAGTATTTTTGTAAGACTACTACATACTAAAGTCTGAAGGTATGATGTTATTGGCATTTTTAATACTTTTATAGATAAATACTTTTCCCAATGGAGATGTTACTGCTTTGGAATATTTCACAGTATGGCTTTAAACCTTTCTGCCTTCATGAAGTTCAAACCAGACCAAGTTACAGGTCAGATCTGTGGATGCAACTCTGCTCAGTCTATTTTCTAGGTATGTTGAGCAATAAAAACAACCTGTAATTGAATAAATGCAAGATAGAGCAGTGGAACATTCCAGGCAGAGCAATGACATATCCAGAGAAATAAGCAGGTGATGGACACCCACCCAAAAAGTTGCATAATGCACCTTTAAAGTGACTAAAGGAATGCACATTTTTGAGAGCTTAACTCATTCTTGCTGTGAGTTAAAATTTCATCATCCTTTTTTTCTGACTGAAAATATCTCAGGTCACAAGAGTTGCAACATTTTTGTGTAATCCTTCTCTATAGTTACAGTGTAATTTCTGCTCCACTGCATACCATTGCAACATTATATTCCCTAACTCTTCCTGTCTATTATGTTCCCCACTGGAAAGAAAACAAAATTCGGATCTAATCTCCCGGGCGACCTTTTAAACCGGGGTGGTCCTGTGGGTGCTGGGACAGGGGCGATGGGTGACACAGGTCTATCAGCACATTGCACCCTGGTTTGACCCTATTGAATTACAGTAAACATGACCAGAATGTAGGAAGTGAGTTTGATTCCCTTTGGTGACCCCAGACAGGTAGGTACAGAACAGAATGAACCCAGACTTACACCTCATTAGCTGTGTTTTGGAAAGTCTCTGTATCGGAAAGGCTAATCATAACAGTGTGGAGTGGGTCTCACACCGCACAATGGGGAGGTTTTATGGAAGATATGATGGGGAGAAAGGCAATAGAAAAATAATGTTCCATAAACTGACCGAATGTGATATTGAAGGTAGTTTATGTTATTTCAATTTAATGCATTGTTGTTATTGTAGATTAACTTTTCTAAAAACTTCAGAATCAAAGTATGGGCTGCAAGGTGCTTACTGAAACAAAGCTTATTATATTTAAGTCAAGTCAGCATGAGAAAATCCATGCTGTTTCTAAGTCTTTTAAATTGTTTTTTTCTCCTTTTTTTCCTTGAGACTTAGAGCCACCTGCTGCATGGAGATATGTATAATGCCATACTGTGAAACATTCCAGGCAAAGCAGTCCCCTTGGAGATAAGCAAGCTGCTAAGTTTCTTTCACTAGAAAAGTTACAGTGGACCTTCTCATGTATATTTACATTTATTGACCATACGACAGTTTTTTCTTTTGGCAACAATCCATATATAACAAGGTTTAATCAGAACAAGTTGTGTTTCTGAATTATATTCTCAAATTACATCTACTTTTCCAACTTTCTGTTGCCCCAGTCCTAAAATATTTGTTCTGCTGCCATGAAATTTAAAAAGCAAATTGAAGCTGTGAAATGAGCACATTTATTTCTCTTCCTTCACTATAATACAATGCGCATTTGGTTAATGACATTGTCCTACTTTCTAGAATTAAAATATCAAACAGAATTTATAACAATAATAAAAAAAAAACCTTTTGCTTATGTTCAGTTCCATTAGATAGGGCAGGGCTTCAGAGTGTTTTTGCATAAAAGAATCATAAAAAAAAGGATATTAAGGAAATCGTGGAAAAGGAGGGGCACCATAAACTCATTTGACTCTGGAGTACCACAGGCGTTTTCAGAGGAAGCCAACTCTAACACCCTGGGAGCACTGCGCTGAAAGACATAAAAGTTTAAGAACCGAAATTTGAAGTGTTCACTGCGCGCCCATCTTTGAATCAGTGAGTGTGAGCCTGTGATAATATATTAGTTTAGTAAGACTGTAAGTATGCAGAGAGAAGGGGAGACTCAGTGTGAGAGATGGATGAACTGCTGCAGTGTCCACACAACCTGAGGCGAGCTCCAGGAAAAGGCAGTGCTGCGCGGCCCTGATATGTGAAAGACGGAAGTGTCCGGAACGCCTGGACAGGACTCGGCTCTCAGGCAGGAAAAGCCCAGTGGAGGAGGAGGAGGGAAGGGGGATGAGGGGGTGGGGAGGAGGAGGTGCTGGGGGTCCCATCAACACATGGTCCCAAGGCTGAGCAGGATAGAGTTTTAGTTCCCATGAGTGGAGAACTGGGATGTGGAAGTCCACCAGTGGTAAAGTATGCAGGAAGACTGTAGGAAGTGTAATGTATGCACACAATCAGGAGGGCTTTGATTAAATTAGCATTTGTCTACATTTAATATAAGTCCTTCCTTTAAAGAGCCCATATTACGCTAGTTTGTTGTTTTAATGTTTCCTCATCAAAACACACAAAATCTGCATATTGAAGCTGAGCTCTTCTCTCATACAGGAAGTGCTCCACTATGTTTTGAAACTCCATACACCTTCACTAGGATCATCTGGATCATTTCAGCCCTGGAATTGCAAATCTCTACTGAATAAAAGGTAAAAAGAGCTGTTAACTTGAAAACTACCACTATATGACATCACAAGGTGTAACAGAGCATTTTGAGATTTGGAGATGTGGACAGGCTAAGAATAAAATATTATTCAAACACATGTGAATGAAACAGAACACACTTATAACTTGACTACAAGCTAACAGGCATCAATTTTGCGTAATATATGGCCTTTAAATGCAAGTCAAGCCATAGATTTATAGTATTTTATGAGTAACTTTTTGTTTTCTTGAGTTATACTTCTCAGGAGTAGTTTTCAGACACTGTATTTTCCCTTGAAAGACATGTTGTACAGTGTACAGTGTACTCTTCAGTAGAAAAAAAAATGTTATTCTTCCTGCTGTGAGTAAGTCTATAAGTGACAAAAGCTTTGTGTTCCTTGCTTCGCTACTTCAGATATATTTTAAGCTACCTTTTCTCTTTTTTACGCTCAACCCTGAAGAAAAAAATACCAAATTTTGTGCGTCATCTAATCGCAAGTTATAAAAAAATAAAAATGAAGTTTGTTTTATTAATTTTAACAGAAACATGCAATTGTTTACGAACACTGATAACTAACTTGGACAAAATCGATAAAAGATCAGTCGTATCCATCAATATGATTCACAAAATCAGGACAGATCCAAACATTTTGAAATACATTTGTGTCTTTTCTTCACACCACACCCTGCCTGTTGCTTCACTGGACACCTGCAGTCTTTCCATGATGCCAGAACACATACTTTCCAATAATCTGTCCATTTATATTTGTATTAAAAGAACACAGGGAGCAGAAAAATGTGCACTTGGGTGTATGCCTCGAGGTTTGATGCATTTGACCCAATGGGGCAACCCGTCAGGAGCGCTACAGTGTCTCCCCTGGGTGCAGCTGCCTGTATAGCTCAATGGGAGATTGATCACTGTTTTTGAAAGAAATATCCCTATGATCCACAAATGGTGAATTGTATGGCCATAAGTGCTTTCATCTGACAACAATCATGTCTTTGAGCTTGTATAATGGGAACACTTTGTGAAAAAAATTATTTCACTTTTCTGTATTTATGTTGTGGGAAAAGAGTAATTACAAATATAATGAATGAACTATAGGCATTTTATAATGTTGTGATGTCACATGAAGACAACTTTATTATGTATGTTTTAAGGTAAAATAATCATCTGGTACTGGGTCCCACGGGAAAACAGTATATATCTTTAAACCACTGTATCTATGCCTTTTTCTGCATATACTTAAAGGGGCATTGTGTAACTTTTCTGGCGGAGGGTCTGTCACCTGCCTATTTTATGGATATGTTGCCTCTGCCTGGAAGACATTTAAGTTTAAGACATTAAACAGCTCTATCTTACATTTATTCGATTACAGGTGGCCTCAGTGAAAATAGAAAGGTTTAATAGCAAACTGTGAAACATTCCAGGCACAGCAATAATCTCCATGGAGAAACGCATCTGACGGACCCGCCACGAGAAAAGTTACACAATGCACCTTTAACCTGGTAAACAGCAAACATGAGTATTCAGACAATTTCATTTTATCGTCAAGGGTGTTGTCAAAGGTTGTATGCATTTTGCACTATTATTATTAGGGGTGGGTATTATTAAGAAGTTGACGATACGGTACATATCTCGATACACAGGCCACGATACGATACATATCGATACAGTACATTTTAGATACGATACAGTACATTTCAAACCGATTCAATACGGTTCACTAAAAAAGGCTAAATCATGGCTGTGATACTAAAAGTTTTGTTAAACGACTTCTTGTGCAAAGTTCATATGAAACACAAACATTTTAATCATCAAAACAGTGAAAATGTCAAATGTGTTGCATAAACGAGTTTCCTTCCTCTAAACAAGCAACAAAACGGAAGCACTGTAACAAAATAATTTTGTAAAATATATCAAAAAATACTCCCACAATACAGCCCACAATATCGTTACAGTATCATCACATTAAACGATACAATATATCAATATTTGGCACACCTCTAATTATTACTGACCCCTATTATATGTTTATTACCAGTCCTTATGAGAATAAAGGTTGGGGACAGCTGATCTAATGTACTCAGAGTTGAATAAAGAATGGCTGTGTATTGCTATCTGATTGTAGTTTAGTTGCATTCAAATTCTTAGAGTAGATTTAGAGAAGTAGAGAAGATTTGCCTGCAGAAAGTGGCAAAGGTACAACAGAAACATACCAATTTTCACCCTCCATCCAAACCATTCCATTGTGTTCTCCAATACTCCATAAAACCAGATGAAACTTCACCTTCACTGTGCGGAGAAACTATGTCACCACAACTAGAGAGCAAAAAAAGAAAGAGGAGAAATATTCAATATAATTTACCATGCATAACAACAGAGAATTAATCAAAATATCTCAAAAACCAGAAATAGAAAGTTTTATATTTTTGTGGTCACTCAATCCATTATGTACTGAAAAAGTAAAAACACACTATCATTTATGTTCAATGTGTGATGCATGTTTTAAAGACATTTTAAATAATTGTTTTGTAATTGATTGGAGTAATACTGGAGTAATCACTATCAAAGATCCTATATTATGCAAAATTGACTCTTGTGAGCTTTATGCTATGTTATAATATTGTTACCTTCTCAAATATATACCCGAAGTTGTGTTTTATTTGTGTTAAACATGTGTGAATGAAACAAAATACAACTCCAGATATGTTTGTGATGAGGAAACAACATTATAATAGATCACTGGCCCCTCTTAAATACAATTAATTGCACTCCCCTAAAAAGTAATATTGAAAATGAAATACATCCTGGAAGTTCAATGACAGTTTGATAGATGAAAACCATATGTGCTGAACGGTGCGCAGGGACCCTCTCAGATTTCCAGATGTGGATCCTCAAAAATGTATCACCTTGTAAAATAAATCTTAATCCTTATTGCAGACATCAGCACTGGCAGCTGTGTCTAAGCTCTGTCGCTGTTTGTCGCCTACACGAGGGGCTTTATAAATGTGTTTGTGAAAATGTCCTTCCTGATCCATTGTGTGGTACAGTGCAGCACGTGTTGTTATTTCCCCCGGCTCTTGAAAGGACTTTCCACGGCCTTCCCATCTTCCTTCAGAGAGTGTCCTGACCTTTGACCTCGCCGCTGTGCTGAGGAGGCAAACTGTAAACAAGGGATTGCGGAAAGCCCCTCAGGTCTGAATATGGGCCAAAGAGCAGGTGATAACTGTAATATCATTTGGCTATTATTATGAAGATGACAATGATTCATTCTATATTTGGACAATTATTTGAAAAGAAAAAAAAGAGCATTACAAAATTAAAATTAACTCTTGACTGCATGCACGGAGCTCAGTGGCTCGTATTTTCGCCTCAGAGACAGCAGTTTCCACGTTCGACTCATGCCCTGGTGTTTCAGTTTAGTTCAGAGTTTGCATGTTTCTCCCTGTGTCTGGTTTCCTCTGGGCACTCTGGTTTTCCCCATTAACCCAAATTCCCAAAACATGTCCCTGGATGCAGAGGCAGCGCTACCATTAAGCAAAAGTAGGCAGCTTCCTAGGGTCCCCCCCAACCAATTGCCCTCAGTGCCACTAATGGTCGAGCCCTCAGAGCAATTAGATTTTCTCTCAATATGACATTAAATGAGAGTAGTTTAATTTTAACAAACATATGTAAAGGATGTAAACAAAAATATATTTGTAGTAGCAAAAAAATAAAACTACTTTCAGCCCTGGTTTTCAAGTTTCCAATCCACCATAATTCAAATAAATGGGGATGTGCATGTCTCAAGAACAGTGGGGAAAAACAAAAAATAAATATATATATATATATATATATATATATATATATATATATATATATATATATATATATATATATATATATATATATATATATATATATATATAAAAAACACACCAAAACAAACAAACACTTTATAGCCTTATAATGAGGGCCCCAAACTCAAGTTCGTCTAGGGCCCCCAAATTGCTAACTCCGACAATGCTTTAGCAGCATTGACAGATGAGTCAAATGCAAAGGACAAGTGTCTCTTTGGGGACAGCAGCATTAGGTTTAGTTATTTGCCATTTGTAGTTAAAGAACACACTGGAAAAACATGCGCAAAAAGCTCAAAGTGCACCATGCCACATAAAAAAAAACTGTAGACAATCATTACAGATGACACATAACAATGTGAAACAGCCAAGATACGAAGATTAAGTAGCTAAAATATGAAGGTGCTGCATTAAAGTTGAAGTTTATAACAACTTGTGGGAAGAAGCTGTTAGCAGTGAGAAGTTTTATATTACATTTAATGGAGCGAGATCTTCTTCCAGAGGGGAGAAGCTCAGACAGGCCATGGCCAGAGGGGTTGTTAATGATCTGAAGGACTTGGTTTAAAATTTGTTAAGAGCCTCTGGAGCAGGAAGGTTACAGTTCACAGTTTTTTAAAGTGTAACATAACATAAGATTTCTATTTTATTTTAGTGTTTTGCCAATAAATGATTATCATATTTGACTTAGACTCAGAACTATATGGGCACTGTTAGGATATATTATGCATAGTACCCTTTCGTGATTGAAACTGGCTCAGAATTTACAATCACTAGCCCGTATGTTTTATGATCATGCAATAAAACGGTGGGTCATTTTTATTACAGCCATGGAGATTTCCTGTCAACCTGAGCACCACCTTGTCCCTCTCTTATTTAAAGTGCTGAATTATCATTTGACTGTCCTCCACCCTGACCCTCCCTTTCCCAGCGGAATGACCTGATGCTCAGACCTGTGGCTGGCTCTAGCGCTCCGTCCCACACAGGGATGGAGGGAGGACACGGCACAGCTCAGGAAGTGGCCCTATTGTTTTCAGGGTCAGAGTCTTTTCCTCTCCTCTCCGCTCTGCTCTGTTCAGCCTGGACATCTTAAGTAAACACTGAGCCTTGTCGCCACCAGCTTGTGTTTTCCTCTGACGGGGAAATGGAGAGTCGGCATGAGCAATGC